AGTTATGACAGCATAAATCGAAATGATTATATTGAGTGTGAAACATAGCAGGACCACAAGAGAAGCGCCCATGGCCAGTATAATAGCCGTGATCGTGTCATGCGAAAGAGTGTCCTGAACATTGAAAAATTTGAGATCACTGATAAACCAGCCGCCGCGTAATTCCGCTGGAGCCGTTCTGAGCTGCTGTTGAAACCAATTTTCAACCGTCTCATAAAACAACTTGATGTTAGCGTAGAGGGTGCTGTAAGCCGTAGTGGAATCGAACTCAATGATTATTGCCTTTACGAGCAGTTGGGGAGATGTAGTTTCTGTGCTTAAACTCTCATTACTGTTGCTCTCACTATACTCATCTGATCGACTGGGTGCAGCTGCGAATTTGGGACCCGCTTTTCCGTGCTGATAAAAACTGGTTTCATACAAATTGGAAATGCATTGGGGCAAACACTGCTCAAATATGTGTGGCTCATAGGGAAACTGTGCCTCGCAGCAGGGTGTGCGATCCAATCTCCGTCTATCCATTTCCATTTCATCAATGCATCTAGAAGTTATATGGCTTAATAGAGCACTTAAATAGTAAAAATAAGCATTTACTTACCTACGTTCCATGTATCTTATGAAGTTCTCAATGAAGCAATTTGGCAGCAAAAATCCAAAGGTGGCCTGATAAAATGGCTGCTGGCGTATGTTTTGGCAAAAGTTTCTCAGCCAAATCTGTGCCGGTTTGCTTGATATATTAAAATTATTGTCATAGTGCAAGTTGCCGTATGAATTTGGGTTCGTATAGTCGCCATCGTCTAGAGCTTGTACGCCCCAAACGAAACGCATACTCATATTGAAGTTTTCCACTCCTTGTAGAGGCTTCTCAAACCAAAACAGATGCTTCAGCCTTGTATAAACTTCAAATGGATGACTCGAAACAAATAATTGGAAATCGGGCTTTTGGGGCAGCTGCAGGCCCGGATACCAGAACACAATGATGGCACTTAAAGTCCCCAGTACGGTAAAAACAAAAAGCCATAAGTATGCATAGTTCATAATGCTTTGAGTAATGCGCTCTTCGAACAATTCGCAAAATCGATTAATTGACTTCTTACAGGCGTTGAGCAATTTCTGTGATAAATGCTGCTGGCAGGACATACGGCTAGCAAAGAGGCGTTCCATAATTGAAACCGAGGCGGGCAGCCATGTGATCATTAGCAAATAGTTCGTAACTACAACAGTGCCCGCAAATATTCTAAAAAATAAACTTGTTTATAAATAGATTTCACTATAAAGACATCACTTACCCAAAACATTTAATTGCCGTTATGGAGCTACTATAGGATGCATAAAATGCGCCGGCAGTGGTAACCGAGGTAACAAACATAGATGCCGCCGCATGTCGCATGGTTAGCGCCATGAGATTCTCCAATGTTTCCGTATGCTCATTGTGCTCCAAAGGCGTGGGTAATGATGATTGTGTGTTCAGTGTGCTGCTTTTGCTGAAACGCTCGGCCAACACACATTGCCAAATTTTAAGGAACAAGAACACATCATCAGCACCAATGCCAATGATAACCACAATGGCTAGCAGATTCATGTATGGAAAGAAGTTAAACTCAAAAACCACTGTGTAGGCAAAGTATGCTAATCCCAACGAGAAGCAAATGGCACAACATGACATCAAAGTTATAAACGCTGAGCCTGTATATAACCAAACGCAGGCCATAACAAAGAGTCCACCCAGTGATACCAGCCACACGTCCGTTAGTAACAGCTCGTTAAATAGCTCATTTTCTAAACCCAAATCCATAGCAACAACTTCCACCAATTCATTTCTCAGAGGTCTGTAGAAAAAGTCGTATAGGATATTATTAGCATTCAATTTTACGTCATATAATGCTGGATATAATAGTTAAACTTTATAATAAATAGACTTGTAAGCTAAAAAACAAATATTCATACAATTTATCTCTCCAGAAAAACTCAATGTAAAAATAAAAATTAGAAAATTAAATTATCTTTGCGCCTAAATACGAACCGATTTGATAAAATGGCAGCAAATACCGAATCAAACCAGCGTTTGCTTGAAATAAACGTGAATACTCTGCTGCCAAAATGTTTTAGGAAAAAGACAGTCACGGAAGTGGATTATATAAATCACATGCATGATGGTCGCATCTATAAGCCAAACAAGATATTTCGATATCAAACCGATCCGGCATTGATCGCTGGCCATTGTGCGAACAATCTTAAGGTAAATAACGTACAGATAAAGACTCGAACATGGCCGTATGCCATGGACTGGCGCGAGGAGTATCGTCAATTTTTGAAGCGAACGAAATGGTGTAACGAGCATGTCTATAAACTATTTTTTGAGTGCCCACCGGTACGCTATGACCAGATTGAAGATTTTCTAATAGATTTGCGGAGAACTATTTACGGCTCGGATTACTCACCGAACGAATATGCGTCGCTGCTTAGCCAAAGAACTGTAAAAGCAGATATTAACGATCCGAAATGCGATTCCAAGGATATACTGACTACCTATGGCAATTATTACAATCGTCTTGAAGAACTTAACAAGGACGGCAAATTGTATCAGGGACCGCCACCAAAGGATATGACCATCGAGATTTTTGCTCAAAATATGCGCAAGCTCTTTCGCAAATACGGACTAAGTACATATTATGAGGACATATGCCTTCCCGCATTGGTAGCTGCTAAGGACGGTAAGATGCCAACTGGACCTATTGATCGCTACACATTGCGTAAATATTAAAGGAATATTGATGAGTTTATTTTCAACTTACACGTGTTGCCATTCGTGAAAGAGTGGAAGAATACGATTGGAACGAGTAACAGGCACAAAAATCATTGCGTATCTCAAATAAACAGTTGTGTCCTGCAAATATGAATTGTTTGTTAATCAAAGAAATATTTACATATAGCGTTTTATGCCACTCACATTTGGCTTGATAAAGCTATAGTCGCTCAGAAAGTTTAGTACATTAAATACCAAATTATTGCGCGTGCATTCCTCCGGAGCATAACAGCGATTTACTTCGTTACAGTTGTTGTCTAGCTTTAGTAAATGATAATATTCATAGCAACTGAGCAGCAGTGAGTGCAGTAATGAAACATCGTCTGCATTCAGATCAAAGCATGAACTCTTATTAGCCAGCAGTGTGACATAGTTGGGAAGTGACCAAGGTCGGCAACAATTGGTTTCAGGCTCACAGAATGCCTGGTAACTAGGCGCAGCACCGATTTGCTCTTGTAGTTGGCACATAGCCAGCATGCCATTAAGATCAAATAATGAATCTGTAGCATTCGGACCAATGCGCTTCACCACAAAATGTGAGTATGCCTTATGTGGCGAGGAATCACAAAAGAAGCCCTCAATGTGCTGGCGACCTCTTGAATTAGACCAACCGTCGTAGGGTAATGAGGCCTGTTTTAGCATGCGCCAAGTACTTTTCTTAGTTTGAACGCGCTCACGGTGTTCATCCTCATCGACGAAAGTAGTATTATGACCATATTCGATCGGCTCACTCTGTCTGGTTGGCTCTAGCAAAGAGGGGATACTATCATTAGTCACCTCAAATTCCCGGAACACTCCACTGTCGCCCATCCACTTATCGCTTAGCGGAGATTTTGTTGCTTTTAGGCGCTTGTTGATGATCATCATATTGTACGCCACATCGCTATTTTCGTTCTTTTTCTGCTGCTCTTTGCGACGCTTATTGTTTTTATGCTTTCGACGTTGATCTTTATGGCGCCTATGATTTGGATGTTGGTGCCTGGGCACTCCTCTTGTCTTTTCATATTGAATTTTTTGCAGTAGATGTGAAGGATTCGAGAATAATATACCATTGCCGTCAGTCTCCTGATTTAGATTATGCCAAGCAGTCAGTCGTTTTCCAATTTCGGTGCCTCGCGTCTCAAAGCCCTGCAATACATTTTTTGGTAAAAGTATGAGCATGCGTAGAAATTTTTTACTGGTGTATGATTGATACGAACCAATGTTGGGTCACTAAAATCTGGCAAATCATTTAGTATGAATGCCACTATGATGCAGGCCACGCAATAAACAGCAATCGAGACGACCACAAGATATGGTCGACGTGCCAGTACATGATAATACCAGTTCATCTTTTCTGAGTCGAAGCACAGCATTCCGAAGGCAAGATAATGTCGAGTAAACACGACAATATATACAAGAATCAAGCACTTAGAGTATATGCATTTTGTTTACTTTAGTGTCGGCCACATTTGCAACATGTGGGGTCTTAATTAACCTTGTGTCGCTATGACGGATGTCTTAAGGGTAGTCCTATTGTTGTTGTTTATGTTATAGATACTGTCTGACCTGCCTTGAAAAATTTCAATATATCTGTGGCTCTAGGCAAGGTTTGGTTATATGTAACTGTAATTGGGCTCTTAACATTTTATTAAATGCTCGCGAAATAAATCTCGGGCTGACAAATTAAACTGAAATTAATAAAAGAATGCGAATGCAAAAAATGCGCAAACACAAGAAAATGCACTAGAGATGTAATAAACATATATTGTCCTTTTAGAAACAGTATCGACTCTTGTTTGATTGTATTTATCGAGTTATCGATGTATTGCAGTGTCTATAAAATGATCATTTTAACATACGTTCAAAATGCAAAGCATTTCTAGTCTACAATCTTGCTGTTTCTGTTTCTATATTTTGTGCTCTTACGAACAGTAGTAAGTAATTTGCAAAGACAGTCTGTAGCTGAGCCACGAAGATAAAATTAATGACCATTAATGACCATATTAAATAATCACGAACGAAAGAGTTACATACGAAATTTCCCCTATTCGAATTGGATATTTGTTTGATTTTATTTGTTAGAATGTAAAACAGTATATTGGAGTTCTATATACGTTTCCAATTAGACATTTCAAAATCTTTTGCTCAGCCATTGAATGAACTAATTGAACTTATTCAACAACAAAAAAAAAAACCGATAGCACCAGCTCGATAAACGCGTTAGTTCTTTGCCACAGCTGATTGCATATTCTTAAGCAGAATAATAAACAACAAATAAGTTTGTCAAAATGCGTCGACGAGTGGGTCTGGGAGCTATACAACAACAGAAGTTGGCTGCTGAAAAATATAAGGACAAAGGAGCCGATTTGCAAGAATCTCAATTGGAGCAAATGACCAAACAAATGGAAGTCTTTCGTATAAAACTGGAGGAGTTTGCCATGAAACACAAAGATGATATCCGCAAGAACTCGCAGTTCCGTAAACAATTTCAGGAAATGTGTGCGGCTATTGGTGTGGATCCCTTGGCTACTGGAAAAGGATTTTGGAGTGTGCTTGGCATGGGAGATTTTTATTACGAGCTAAGTGTGCAGGTTGTAGAAGTATGCCTTGCAGCCAATCACAAAATAGGGGGTCTGATGGAATTGGACGAACTACGTCGACGTCTCATAGCTGCACGTGGACAAAGTGTGCTCCATCAGGAAATAACAAAGGAAGATATACTGATGGCTGCAAAAAAGCTGACTATTTTTGGCAATGGGTATATGATATGCCAGCAGTTGAATTTATTTATTAACATTTTTTTTTTTTAATTAACAGTTTCGTTGTACACAAGCTAGGAAAAGGGAAATATATTGTTCAATCCATTCCGGGTGAGCTAAGCATGGAGGAGACCAACATACTTAGTGCTGCATCTAATACGGAAACTGGTTGCATTACTCAAAACCAACTTATTACGGACTTGGGGTGAGGTTCTTTTTAAGCAACGAATTTACAAAGCTAAATATTTTTTTTTTTAGTTGGACCGAGTACCGTGCAAAACAAGCGCTAGAGAAAGTATTGGGTGAGGGCCTTTGCTGGATTGATAAACAATCCGAGGATTTGCCGAGCTATTGGTTTCCTAGTTTGTTTCCAGGACGTCACGCGCAGATGGTGGTTGCATAGCTTGTACACAGCTTTATTTAAAACTATTTAACATGTATATATATCGCTAGAAATTACAAAATATATAAGCAAATTCATACTAAAAAACTTTTATCTCCCGTCTCCGACAGCGCCACTCAGCAAGTCGTTGTCGGCCTGTAATTCACATTTTTGCTTTTGTAAATTATATATAGCGCTCTCAAACTTCTTTGTTAGATCATTCAAAGCTTTTTTATAATGTGATTTGAGTGCCTTGTATGAAAGCATATAATCATGTATTTGAGATTCGTAACCTTTTTTGCTGCAAACGAACGAAAATTAAACATTTTTGTAATTTCTCAGCTTGTAATATTACTCACGACGCTAAATGATGTGTTTCATCGTTAAAAGCACACTGCTCAAGTTCAATTAGACGCTTGTTACAAGACTCCACTTGCATCTCCAACTTCTCGTTCTGTTGTAGGGCTTCATTATATTTCAGACTTAAACGCTTGTTTCGAGACTCCAACAGTTCTATTGCCGTCTTGTGCTCCACCATCTGAGTCTTCATCTATAATGAGTATGAGATGTGTCTGTATGAGTTTCAGGATAAGTTTTGTAAAAATATATTCGGCTGACCCTTCCGCGTATCAAGGCAATTGTTTTGTCCTTCTCTGCTATCTTTGTCTTGAGCTGAGCAACTTCGTTGTCTACACGTTTAGCAGCTTCATCCATGATGGTGCCAATATTGAATGCCAGATTGCTGGCCTCTTCCTTGTATGATGCGGCACGTTTCTCCGCTTCATCCTTTTCACGGACGGCTGCCTCACTAATGGCGATCGCATCTTGAACTTTGCGCATTGCCTCGATCTCGCGCTTCTTACTTTCATCTAGTAAAGCACGGGTGTGTTGCAAGGATTTCTCAAATTCTCTGATCTGCTTTTGTAGACTTGTGACTTTAGCTTGATTGTCCTCCCGTGTGACTTCACCACGATGACGGTCCTTTAACTGGGACTGCAAGTGGTCGATCTGCTCACCGCAGCGCTGCTTGTGCTCGTGCAGAACTTTAATAAGTTTGGCCTGGGTACGAAGTTCCTCCTGTTGCGCAGCTAGCCTGCCCTCCAGCACCTTGATAGCTTTATTATACGATTGCACCATCTAAACTTAATAATTGACATTAGAAACAGGAAGGCCAAAACTCGTTTTTACCAGATTCAGAATTCACCTGTTCATTATCTTCGTTAGAGAGCTGAGCACGACAACTGTCCAGTTCCGCCTCCATGTTCTTGATAGTGCGCTCTGAGCATTCCTGCAATGTGTTTAAACAATGTTTCTCCTTTTTGAGCGCCTCAATCTGATCCATGGCTTTGGTCAAGGCATTGTTCGTGATATCTAAACGCTCCTGTAGTTTCTCCGAGCTGCTGGACCACACAACTCGCTTATACTTGCCCAGTTCGCCAGTCAATTGACGATTCTCAAGTAATACGGCGCTAATGAGCGATCGCAGATCTGATTGCTCCACGCGAAAATTTTTCAAATCCTCATTTGTTTCCTTAATAAGCCGCTCTACTCCCAAGGCTACCTCGCCGGCACCGCTGCTTGAAAAAAGTTGTGAAAAATGAAGATTTATCTGTGCCGACTGAATTCGATGTTCTCTTTATTTATGATATTTACTCCCACCTTGGAAACTCAAAGTGTGAAGCCTCCTGAGACATTCTAAGCTAACTACAACGTCTTCCTTCCAAGTTCCAACTACGAATTTTATATTAATTAAATGCTCCAAGCAGCTGTCTCTACTGTCACTATATGACAGTTCGAAATGAGCCAAAACCCTGTCGGAGTTGCCGTGGCAACGAAAAGTGGCAAGGCGCAAACATTAAAATTGGTCAAGAGTTTCTGTCCAATTTGAGTAGTCAGTCATTGTGATGCCACTCTTTAACAAGAAATTCGAATCGAAGCCTATACCAGCGCGTGTGAGTCGCTGTAATATTGGCTTTCCGGTCGTGAACGAGGACATTGAGGATTTTCGTAACATCTCATTGAGTTTGGGCAACAAGAAGCTGCGTTTCGCCGATGGCATTTGGATGCATTCGGCGCATAAAGCAGACGTGGATGACATGCTACGCTTAAACAAGAAATTCCGAGCTCTAGAGGAGGAGAATAACATGTGTAACTTGAAGATAGAAGTTATGCTAGATTTGTTAGCTGAGCATGCCACAGAGCTCAATGACTTGAAGCCCAAGGAGAAGTGTAAGCCCAAGGAACAACTGGTACAGAGACCAATATAACAATTTACTATTTATTTTATAGAGCGAAAGCTGTCAAGCTGTCAATTTGTAAGCATTAATTGTAATGAAAAGTGAAATAAAAAGTCGAAACTGTAGAGGTTCAGTAAACTCATACTGCCTGATTTTGGGTTTCCGTTGGATTATTTAAATACCCAATTGGGATCGTTTTGTCTTATCACAATGCATATTTGTTTGTATTATTGAATCAAGTAGCTAAGGGTCTATCTGTATAATGCTCTAATCATTTCACATGCTCGTTGAAACTTATCAATTGGTAAAGTATTATGGAGAGCACCAACTGCAGCGCCGTGGTCGCCGGGCTGGCTTTGTTGACTAGCCCATTGGGAATTAATTTGGATTTGTTGGGCTAACGTTCGATGAATGGACGGGCGGGCTGGTCAAATTGCTGGCATTATTGACGCCATTGGCAGCAATCTATAGACGACATCGACGGCATCGGGTTGCCGCTTGGCTGCCGCTTGGCTCCCGCTCTTCATTATGGCATTTGATAAGAAGCACGGAAAACGAGAGCCGACAGCCGACCGACTGCTAGCGGGGTTGATTGTCGAATCAACTATGGCGGTTAAAATAAATAACTGACTAGGGTGCGAGCCATTATACGATCGCATAAAATTTACATGCTCTATCTATACTCGTTCGTATTCTCTGTCTTTGTCGCCCTCACTCTATATCTATATGACTCGCTCTTATAACTAAATTTTGGAACGGCGCAAGCGATAAAGCTTACGAACGGAGCCTAATCATTGCCTTCCCATACATGATATGTACATAGCTGTGGCGATATCGGTACACTATATCGACTACTGTATATTTACGCATTTATATTGATAGGCGATAAGCGAAACTGCTTATAAAACACATTTATTTAGTTGTTCCCCAGCAAATGGTAACGACCACGACCACGACCACAAAGGCGACGGCGACAGCGACAACGGCGAGCCGTTCGCTTCCGAAGGGGGTAACACTTGTTCGATTCGTGTATTACAGTAGTTTGTTGATAGCCAGCCGATCGTACGGACGCACACAATACGATCCCAGAGATCGATGTGTCTACAATACCATACGAGTGCTATTTACCTAGTGAAATACAACAGCAATAACAATTGTTAAAAAGAGAGAGAGAGAAAGAAAAAAAAAAACAGCCAAACAACAAAATCTATTCGAAAATAATACAAAAACACATGTACAATAAAATGTTTGCACGCTTTGGTTTTGGTTTTAGATGCGCGCCTTTTGCGAATATGGCAATGTTTTAGCTACGGGCCGCAATTGATTCCGTGATGGAGCATTAGGTAACACAAGACGCCTATATCAGCACAAATTGTCTGCTGCCTCGGCGCATTCATCAAATAAATATATAGATATATATAAATTTATATATATACATATACTGGCCATATCAGCAAGTTTCAATTTGACGTGCTTCTTGAAGTGATTAAGAACTAAGTTACCAAACAGTCGATCGTCAAAGTCCGTCACGATCGTGTGTCCATTAGTTCTGGGCGCCTGTAACCGCGCGTAGTTTTCATTTTGCTATTGTTTTTGTTTCTTTCCAAAGTGCTTTGCTTGCCATAAACAAATTGTCTATCAAGCAATAGATATTTTGTTGCATGAAACGAGCTAATAAATGATATCATATAAATCAATTGAGTGAATGCCAATCAAATTGGGGGCAACTGTGATAAATCTAACATACAAATGGATCATGCGTCGGGTAGCTGCTATATAAACAGACAATCCGTCGGGTTAGTCGGTTCGTTTAGACAAGTCTATTTTATTGGCATTTGGTGCATCGCATTGCAAATTAGTGTTAAAGCGTGTACACACGTGTACACGTGTACACATACATACGTATGTGTATATACAATGTATAACATATAGTATGAGTCTAGTGAAGCGTAGATGGTGATGGTTGGCTGTATCATAGTGTCAAATCATCATAACTTTATAAAAATTATATTTATTTTTCTATTGTATTGTATATTCTATATACATTATATATCATATAAAAATTCTTTTCTTTTCATTTAATAAAATTTTTTAAAATAAAAGTTAGTTTTTCGTATTCGCCCAGTATCAATTAGGGCCAGTGTGAAAATTGTTTTGGTTCAAGTGTTTTTCATCGACGCGCCCATTTAGTGGGTAGCGATTTGATAAATGGGCATTATCGCATTTATGATTTATTGTTTTGTATAAATGGGGTCTCTGTCGCTATTATATATGAGCCAAGGATTTGACTGTGCATACATACATACATATATGTATAAGTATATATGCGTAAGTGTGTGCACGTGGGTGTACTCGCACTATTTGTATGTGGATCACCCGAATTAAATGGCCAAGTAAATAAACAAAACCAAAATTGTACACTCAACGGCCGAAAGCGGCCAATAAAATGTGTGAAAAATGTGTGCGAGCAACACTGAGAAATGCAACGTCTAAATAAATAAATACATAAATATATATATGTACATATATATATTTATATATTTAGATATAAACCTGAGCAGCATCGAAACGAGGAGAAAATGTTTACAATTAAATTGAAAAAATAAAATCGATCATTTCGCTGCTAATAGTCAAACATAATAAGTTTAAGTGTTTCTGAAATATGTGATGATACAAAAGAATATCTATTTAAACATACACCGATTCGTGAGAATTCGATAAAATACAAAGAGAGCATTATTAAAATTTAACTTACAATTTTTTATATTCAACAAAATTGAAATGCTTAATATAATTTTAGTTGTTTAAGGAGCTTTAATATAATGTGCAAAGCCGTGTCGAAACTTTGTTGTTAAAACAAATGCAAATGATGTTGATGACAATAAATATAATGAAACACCTGCGGCAACAACGCTTTGACGCCATCTGGTTGCTAATTGGATTATGTGGACTGTCCACGACGTTTGCGTACTTTATAGACTATACAGGTGGGTGTACGAGTTTCAAAATAATTATATTGCAAACGGAGTTCTTGAAGTGATTGTAGAGGCCATACACACTTTGCATAACATGGCAATTCTTTCAAGCTGTACCAGTTTATCATTTTCGTTTTTGTTTTGCAAGACATTTTGATAAGATTTTTTTTCGCATAATTAAACGAAACAATTTATGATTTCATTCTTAACTGATTGTCTGATTGCATATTTTGACAGAGAACACAGAGCTGATACAGCAACGTGCTGGCTACGACGTCCGGTTACAGTGCAACCTAACGGGGCTGCTGGATGAGCGCAGGCTGGCGGACATTAAGATACACTGGTACTTTAAGGTGAGCATGATAGTCCTTGAGGAAGCCATCCATGAGGCTAATAGCAATATATTTTGTATTCATAGCAATGCAGCGACAATAATTGTTACCAGCTGGAGTCTGGCGAGGATTGGACCGCCCTGCCCTGCGAGTCGACACTCTGTCGCGCCGAGCTCTGGCTGCGCAATGTCACGGAGCGATACTCGGGCCTGTACAAATGCAGCATCAATCCACATGTATGGGATGCAACTCAGGCGGTGGACGTGCAACTTGTGCGCACTTATCAGCTGGACGTTAAGAGTGAGTACATCACGTAGTGTAGCTAGTCGAGTGAGCTCTTAGCTAACTTATTCATACTCTTTTCAGACAGCTCGCTTGCTGCACCGGAGTTCCTGGATGCCTATCCCAGCAATAAGACAGCTATTCAGGACAGCCGAGTGGTTTTTCAGTGTCGTGTGCACAGCGAGGAGCATTTGACTATAAAATGGTTTCGACGGCATGGATATGCCGCATATGCTTCTGCTCAGGATACACCGCAGCCCACGCAGGGCTCGTCAAATTTTAGTGCTCATATTGTGCGCTACAATGGACGCACTTATGAGCTGCTCTCCACATCCCCCGAGAAGCTCGTCAGTCCACAGATTTACCTCAGTAAGCTGATCATTAACAATGTGAGGATCAGGGATGCTGGCTACTATGCATGCGTAGCCATTAGCTATCGCGGCCACAAGATCCGGGAAGCCTATCTCGACGTATTGCCGTCTGACGATGCTATGGAGTACTGGGTGGACTACACCAACAGTGATGAGCTTGTCACTGAGGATACCAGCGATCCTCGGGAATTCCTGCTTCTGTTTCTCATGCCCCTGGGCTTGGCGCTGCTGCCGCTGAGTGTTTGGGGCGGCTATATGTTGTATAAGCGCTGCTCGAAGCATAGCGAATGCGAGCGCATGGAACAGCAGTACTCCGACGAGGAGCTGGATACAGAACGATATGTGCTCGGCGGCAGTTGACAATGTTGGCTGGCAGTGGATTGTGCAGATGTGGGACCAAAGACTGTGCTTACATTTAAGATGTAATATTTACAATAAATTACGAATTAGTTTCTAAAGAAAGATATTTTTTAAACGAATAGCACGTCTAGTTTCTATTGACACGTTGGTTAGTTCAAAATTCACAATTTTCTATGAAATTCAAAATTATTTCTCGCCTTTCAGTGCCAGCGAATCGTCTCTCACAGCAATCCACCCCATTGAGCGACTTTTGAGCTGATTTAAGGACATATCTATGGTCTAATGATCTTTGAAATTAATCTGCAGTTTTATTTGTTGCGGCATAACGCGGTGCGTACCTACTTTTTACGCTTGTGGCTCAGTGTTGTCAATCAGGACGCACCTATAGAGGCTGTTGCTATCCAGGAGCTATTGTAATTGGGAAGCAGTCATATCGACCACGCCATTGGCAAGACTTGCGGCCGGGAGAAAGAGCACGGGGCAGAGCAAAACACATATATATATATACATACAAGAAGTCGACAGTAGTAGGAGTTCATTATGTCAAGGCATTGTTATCGCACTACCACCCTGGAATTTTACGAGCTTGTGCCAGAAACTCGGAACTACAGCTACGGATCCGTACACTGGCCCTTGCATATGGATAGCTATGGTGCTGACAGCTATTTTTCTAATCTGCAAAACCATTTGGCTATGGCTAGCAATAGTGATCAGCATCGTGAGTTTATCTACGACATTGTACAGTATCCTCAACAACAAGCCATATTCGAGTTTGGTCAGCAGGAGGAACCGCGTACCGCATACTTAGCATCTGTTCCCATACATGAAGATCAAACAAGAAATATGACTAAAGATGATGAATATAAGACGAGCAATGTAGACGCCGTAGCTGCAGAGCCAAAGACCACAAATAAGCCACGAAGAAAGAAAAACATCTATCGTGCAAAACAGGGCTATTTGGTGGAAGAGCCCTCCAGTGAGTCCGAGAACGACCAGGAAGCTAGTTAGTAAATTTTTGAGTTAATATTATATTTATGGATCAATGGCAGGCTTGCCGCAACGCTTTGAACAACATATCCGATCTACAATCAATTATTTAATCATTGCGGTTGAGTTATGGCAAGAATGTCTGAAAAGTCCTGATGCTACTCATATGTATATACATATATATATTTTTTTCTTCTATAATATTCATCTAACAAAAAACACACATATATATTTTTTACTGTAACCATTTAGTGTTTCTTCGTTTGTTAAACGTAAGCCTGCTTAAAGAAGTAAATTATAAAAACACAAGCTTGATATGTGTATTTATTTAGCTTAGAAGGTGGCGGTTTCAATTTCCAATGGGGTATTTGAATATTAGCACATGTATGACAATAGTCTCTCTCGCTTGCACACCCAGTGTCTCCCAAGCTCTCTTGCGCCTATGCTTACTGAATTGCGATTATTGTTTGATGCTCTTGAATGTGAGTGTGGGAGTATTTGTACACTCTCGCTCTCCTTGCACGTTCAGTTACAATGCTCTCTTGCGCTCAGCGGATTTGTGTCTGTGTTCGTGGTGGCCAAGCTGTCTATCGCTGCTTGCTCAGTTGGCGCGCAGTCTTCGTAGTTGTTGGATGTGCGCATGGGGAATATCGGCTCATATGTGGTTACAGCAATAACAGTTTATACAGCAAATAAACAAATACTATTTTTAGGTTGTGAAAAAATAAAAGTGTTGTAGTGCAAACACCTATATACATATATTAATAAACTGCAGCAGAAATCAAGAAACTATAAGGGAATTAATAGAAAATGTCGCCTTTCGACTGCAAATCACGACGTGGCACCAAAATATCAGTGATAATACTGGGCAGCGCTTTATGCATTGTAATGATGGCTTATTTCGTTTTCGGCGACAGCAACGACGAGCAGGGCTTGAAAAAGCTACGCATGATATCAATTGTGAGCATTAGCCAAACATCCATCCAATTAGAATGCGCATTTCAACTATGTCATTTGCATATCTATGTATGTATGTGCATCGTTTGTTTGATTTCTACAGCTGTTCCGCCATGGTGCCAAGAATCCGAGCGGTTTCTATCCCAATGATCCACATGCAGCGCACGACTGGCAGGAAGGCCTTGGTGCACTCACACAGGTAAGATATAATCACGCAAGTAAAATTCAATATTGCTGAAAGCCTTTAAGTGCATTTTCTGTCTTTGCAGAAGGGCAGCTTGCAGTCATACAAATTGGGACAAAATCTGCGCATGCGCTACTATCGGCTATTGCCATCGAACAGCATTTACACACAGCAGCAAGTGCATGTTCTAAGCTCCGCCGCGGAACGCTGTGTGGTGCGTCAAAGTCAAACAAAATTATCTGATGATAAGAGAACTGTGTGTCTTATCAGTTGGTAGTTATCTTTTAGATGAGCGCTCAAAGCGTGTTGGCCGGCCTGATGCCGCCGCTGGATAATAACAATGTGCTGCCCATACCCTGGCAGCCGGTGGCCGTAAACACCCTAGCACGTAACGATGACATTGTAAGTTTTAACTCTAAATATCCAATTCAAATCTTTATTTAATTTTTTGTTTTCTTCTATTTATAGTTGTTGGCACAGAAAAAGCCCTGCGCTAAATATGAGAGCATACTACAGAAGCTATACAAAAACCCGCCACCAGATCTTGAAAAGTTAAACGAGGAAAACAAGGAGCTATATAAGCTACTCACAAAGAACACGGGCAAGGTAATTACTCACATCGAAGGTTTCCTATAGCAATTCATTTTGTGCACTTTGCAGAACATTTCCAATGTGCTTGACGTGGAAATGTTGTATACCACATTAAAAACAGAAGAGGAAGTCAGCCTTACTCTGCCTGATTGGACTGAGAACATATACCCGGAGGAAATGCGATCGTTGGCTGAACGGAGCTATGCTCTGTTTACCGAAACACATCTTATGAAACGTATTAAGGGCGGTGCCTTTCTCACAGAAATACTTAAGAAAATGCAGAACAAACGCAAAAAGAATTTGAATCCGGATCGTAAGATATTTTTGTATGCAGGCCACGATGTTACCCTGGTGAATGTTATGAACTCTATGGGAATTTTGGATCAGACGGCTAAGCTCCCAGAGTATGCCTCGGCATTGGTTTTTGAGCTGCATCACAGCAAATCTTTCGCAGACGGAGATTTCGAAGTAAAGGTATATCAAGGTTTACTTCTATTGCTAGTTTAATTAACTATATTCTAATATATTTTATTTTATATTTATCTACACACAGCTGGTATACTATTTTAATAGTGAAGACAAATTCCCCAAGGAGCTCAGCATACCAAATTGTGATCCACCATGTTCGTTGAGTCAATTCGCAGCTTCGTTGGAACCACTTCTGCTAGATAATTACGATGATACCTGCGAGAATCCCACATTTGACTGCAAGAATTAAGTTATTCGTCTGATTGATTTTTTTTTTTCGTTTTACCATTGTTAAACATATTTCAAAATGTAGTCAGGTTTGTATGTTATTGTTGAACAATAAACATTAGTATATATTCAGAAAAAAGTACTACGAACAAAATTTTTAATTCCGACACTTTTTAGTTAAATTCAAAATCTAGACCCTTTATCTTCGGCGTAAAGAAAATAAATAGGTACCTCTTCCGCATCGTTGACTCGAACCATTTCTGTATGGCTTATTAAACGAATGGCTGCAAGTCCATAGAACAGCATAGGAAGGCCTGTGACAAATACGGATTGAAATAAATACAGATTATTTTTCCTGAGGGCACTCACCCAAGTTAATAACTTTAAGGAAGCGAAAGAATTTATCCTCCATCGAGAGATCTGCTACCTCACGTTTGCTGCAGTGGTACTTCATGTACGGATAACAGCCTGTGCGTAATATATGGTAATTTGTGCCCGTATCGAGTGTCCAATTGAAGTGTGACATTCCGCGCTGATCGTTTTGAACATCCTTAAACTTTATTCATGGTATTATAGAATATCTATAGACGTTCGCTCGTACTGTGCTCACTTTAACAAAATATGATGTCCAAAATGGCTCATGGCATTGCTTTAAATAAGCGCTCAGCACTTCAGAGGCTCGAGGCTTCAACAAAACTCGCGTAAGTTGCATTATTAAACAAACGCATCACTTTGTTGCATAAAAACAAACAACATGCAAACAGCTGTTTGATTTAATTTTACTGTGCTGGCGTACAGTCGATCTATCGATAGCTTCAGCAATAAGTATATGCGTTTTCCACCACCATTAAATATGCGATAACATTTTCAGATTATCGTTCAATTTGTCCGCGTATGCTCGGTATTTTTCAATTTCAAGTTTCCGCAAATGTCCAGTAGAAAATATCATAACTGAGCATTTTAATATGTTACCAATACAAAATGAACGTATGTTACAATACAAGGCGGGATCTGATGAACGCAATCAGGTGAAGGCTGAACTTAAGACAATTCTTAATAAAATAGAGCCGGTCCCAATCGTAATAAACGGCAAGGAAATTTTTAAGAAATGTGAGCTTGCTCAAATAATACCTTACAATATAGAACATTTTATTGCACGGTATGATTCCAGAATAACATAAATCCAAATAACTACGTATTGTAATCACTTTATTCCAAAACCTTTAGTTACTCCCACGCAAATAGAGAATTAATAGACCGGGCTATTAGTTCGGCTACTCAAGCACAGCAAAAATGGGATAAAACAACGTTAAGGGAGCGTATGGCCATTTGGGAGAAAGCTGCTAATTTAATTGCTACGAAATATCGTTTTAAGATTGTGGCAGCAACGATGCTTGGCCAGGGGAAGACTCTGTGCCAGGCGGAAATGGATCTCGTTGAACTGGTGGACTTCATGCGCATAAACCCTATTTTCCTACGTGACCTAGCCAATTACGAACCAGTTAACGGCCAACCAGAGTCGTGTCGCAACCATATGGTGTTGCGGGGGCTTTCCGGATTTGTAGCCGCCATTAGTCCATTCAATTATACCAGCATAGCTGGCAACTTGGCATATACACCGGCCTTAATGGGCAATGCTGTGCTCTGGAAGCCTTCAGATTCCGCTGTATTGTCAAATTGGTATGTGTTCCAGGCTATGCGGGAGGCAGGCGTACCTGAGGGAGTTGTTAACTTCGTCCCAGCTGAGCCAACGGTATTTTCCACGGCCATCACTTGTAACCCTGACTTGGCAGGCATTCACTTTACCGGTACTTCTGCGGTGTTGAAGTTGCTTTGGAAGATGGTTGGACAGCGTATTGATACTTATAAGAACTATCCCCGATTAGTTGGCGATTGTGGTGGTAAGAACTTCCACTTTGTGCACCCGTCGGCAAATCCAGAAGTTGCTGTAGCCTGTACCGTGCGAGCAGCGTTCGAATATGCTGGCCAAAAGTGTTCCTCCTGCTCTATGCTGTACGTGCCCGAGTCGTTGTGGAAGACGAAAATCGAGAAACCACTGCTGAAGATTACCAAACGGCTGTTTGTTAGCGATGCAACCTACTGTGACTGTTTTTACTCGGCGCTCATTGATAGGAAGGCCTATCATCGGCTTTTCACATATCTGAAGTACATACATAACAATTCTGAATGTAAAATGTTAATTGGCGGAACTTGCTCCAAGGGCCGTGGCTACTATGTGGATCCCACCATTGTGCTTGTTGAAAATCTTGATGACTTTCTGTGCAAAGAGGAACTGTTAGGGCCAATTCTATGTGTCTATGTCTATCAAGATGAGAACTTATATAGGATAATGGATAAAATTACTGAAGTGAATCACGCTCTAACAGCGTCGATCTTTGCTCAAGATAATCAGTTTATCCGGAAGGCATGCGAGATATTCAAGTCCAATGTGGGCAATCTTAACATAAATGACAAGTGCACGGGTCTAATGGTGGGTCAGCAACCATTTGGAGCTGGTCAGTTAACAGGCAGCAATGAGAAGTTGGGTAGTCCACAATATTTACTACGCTGGACATCGCCGCAGGTCATAAAGGAGTCATTCGTTCCACATGTCAACGTCTACTATCCATATATGGAGATCAGCGACAATATATTAAATATACATAAAGAAACGACTGACGTTGACTATGATAATTCTGACTCTGATGATTATCATCTCAAAAATCCGGAATAAATTATTAGTTTGATATTGTAATATACTTTTCATTGTTTTATTAAATCTACAAGCAATTGGTCAGGTAGAGATTACCTATGGCGACTAGTTCCTAGTTCTCTCTGTTTATATTCTATATACAATACTACTAAAATCATCTTGTTGTGAGCTAAATGTCTCATTCGATTTATAAAATTTGAAATTTACTATTGTTGCTTATCAGATGCTCAACTTAAATTCAAGACACAAAATGAAATGTCTGGTTGGCATGATCGGCAGCACGAAGTTCGAATAACAACTATATACTTATTGCTGCTTCTTTCGATTCCAAACTCAGCCGCCGATAGCAAAGCACTTCTGAGCACCCCCAACGCTGCGACCAAATGGAAACGAAACTACAAAGTGGATATACCCCGCCTCTACACCGCATACAGGGTGCTATTGCAGGATGGTGTCGGCGGCGGCGGCAATGCCAAAATAGAGGTGGGTCAGATAGGCAAACGAATAGCTGTAGCAGAGGAGGACGACGAGAGTTCTATTAGTAAAACCATAATACCTCTTAAAAGAACTTCGGCAGTGAATAATACAGAGAAAGCGTCTAATTTAATTAAAGACCTAAGGGCAAAGGAAAAGGGCTTAAGTTCTATTGATTACACCAACACAGAAGAGGCTAAATACGCGCGGGTCGAAAAAATCAAGGATGTGGAGGACGAAAAAAGTGGTAAGGAGAAGTCGATAGAGAATCTTCCAGCAGCTCACGGCATGGTTATACTCAAAATGGATGAGCCTTCGAAGACCAAAGAGGCAAAAGCTAAGAAGACATATGCGGCCGAAATTCAACAAGCTAATATTGATGAAATGGAGAATCGGTTAGCCAAATTAAATAGAGTCTATCAAAAATATGTGAATGTGTGGAAAAGACCAACACCAGAGACAAAGGGGTATACCTTACTTGGCAATAAGAACGCACTTTCGGCTACAAATGTTCGCTTAAGTGCATTAGACGCGCTTGCCGACGTTGTCGAGACTCTCAAACAATCAAATCCGGTTGATGAAATTGTTAAAGCCATAAATGACGAAATGAACCCAGAAACGGAAAGTCTTGTAGGCTCGATCAAATTAAATGTCAACGACTATTTAGCGCCATCTAGCCAAAGAGGGAAAAACAAAATAATTAGCGATCAGTCCTCGAATGTGGTCAAACGCCTAGTTCCCAAAGTGGCCCCCGATGTAAAAACTGGCGGTCTCTATGAAGAGTATAAGAAAAAGCTGAATGATATATTGCAGGCACACAAGAATTCCCACAAGGCCTTAAGCGAAGAACAAAGACTACGCGCCCAAAGTAACGCAGCCGTAAACGCCAACACGTTGACCCAATGCCACTGCGATGCAACAAAGTCCGTAATAATAGCCGTCGATAGTGACGGGCAGACAGTGACTAAAGAGCAAATGCCATGTTACTGTGAGGCCACAAGGCCCACCAATTTGGCCATCGACGGTGATACGGTTACAATCTCCAACGGGTTAATACCCTGCTATTGTGACAGCACCAAGAGCGACAAATTGGCTGAAGTGTTTACAGATGGGCAAGCAGGTAAGACCATTGTATATATGAAGGTGCCGGAGTCACAGACAAATGGACAACAGCCGAGCAAGGAGAGCGAGATGAACGGTGGCTTGAAGCCATATTACTTATCTAACTCCAAACACAGACAGATGGTCTGGAACGATGTGCCCCTGATGAGGCCCGGCAGTGCACAGAAAGGCAATCCAGCTAAGCAGCACATATTGACGGTACCCAAGGGTGAATGTAACCAACCTGTAGTCTGTGGTAAAAATAGTCAGGAATCGATCCCATTGAGAAATAATTTGACACATTCACCTTCATTTACCAAGAACAAAAACAAGCTTCACCATATAATCAGAGTCTTGCAGACCAAGCATCGTCCGGAAATTGAAAGAAAAACCCAGAAGCGTGGCCTTAACGGCCGCTACGATGGCATGTCTGCCAATTTGGCATTTCCGGAGGTGCTCGTTCAAAAATTTGGGCAACCACAAGAGACTGGCGGCAAACTCATTGAGAATATGGCAAAGCAGTTAAATGTATCGCCTGTGGAGATGGCTCAGCGCATTGCATCATCCAGTGGTATGGGCAGTGGACAACCAATTGCAACTGGCATGTATCCAGGACAGTCGCCCCTAGGTAAGTAGTTGGATGATTTATCATGTGCTTGTCTTACAAAGTTTTTTAAAAAGCAAGCCAGACCAACGGGGGCCAAGTTCCAATGATGGCCCCAAACCTTAATAACCAACAGGGACAGGCGGGTGGGAATATGGCATTCGTGTTGGAAAAGATTCTGAGTCGACTACAGAGCATGCAAGATGCCAGCTCTAATCAGGAAGCAACAGAGAAGCTACCTTGCTGCTTTGCAGAGCCATCTGACGGTTAGCAAAGTGCTAAGGTTTGAAATGAACAAAAAGTTGTTTTAAATTTTATTCGTATCAGGTGCTCCTTGTGAATTAACAGGCTCCTGGGAGTCGGCTTTGTTGGGCATACGTATCAACATAAGAGACGATAATAAAATCGTTGTGGCCGACCTCAAGCCCACCTGCATGCAGCCCAAAGTTCGTCGCTCTGACACGAATCGACTTTGGCGGCAGTGCGTGAAAGTGACTGCGGCGGAGATTAAGGATCGCTTCAAGTCATCGTCAACAGCCTTGAATAGACCACTTAATATAACTATCCAGGAGACGGTTCCACCACGCCAACACGAAATGCTGGAAAATCTTGCGGAGTGGATATTCACGGGTCGTTCGATCAGCACCTTAGGAGGGCCCATGCTGGTCACCTGCCAGAATGTGTACACCAACTTGATAGGTACCTTTGTGGGTTTTTGTCGGAGATGTGGCTGCATTGACACTATATTCGGAAGTTGGACTTTCTGTCACCCATCACGAGATTGTCAGGATATAACAATGTCGATATTTGAAAGACGAGATGTCTTGCGTCGCTATACGTTAGACGATGCTCGAAAGGAACGATTAAAAGAACATTTATATAGGAAATCGAAAAAGCCATAGAGAATCATAACATTCCCAATAATTGTATACCGTTAGCACTAATATTTTGTTTTCATTATTGTGTAATAATTTATTTTGATATATAAATCGTTTAGTTTATTAACATTATAGCTGCTGGTGTTTGTGACGATTGATGAATGACATGGCATAGCCAATGGAACGTTTTACACAGTGCTCGTCCATCTCATTTCCTGTTTTGCAGTCCCTCAATTCGCCCACGACATAGTCCACAATTCTGTTTTTCAACTGCTCGTCATTCATGCGTTGCAAACGCTTCTCAACTTTGTGGATGAGCAAATAGGCTTCGGGATAATCAGCCACATCACAGGGCCACATTTCGGAATGCCTATGAGTCCAGCTGGGTCTGAGTTCATCACTCGAAATATAATCCTGGGATTGGCGCCAGGTGCCGGCCTGAGCTAGTGCCAATGAACAGGCAAGCAGTACGATGCACGAGACACGCATTATGTAAAATTAATAAAAGGCGCAATTCAACTAGTGACTTAAGGTACAGACACTTTAGTTTATATAGCTGTCAAGCAGAGGCGATATTGCTGAATTTGCGACTTTTTGTGTTGTTGGGGCTTTGCACTTTGAGTGACCGATTTCGTTTTTGCTAACGGCTGCACTTCTTTTCTTGAGTGTTTTCAAAATTTTGATTAGCGCGATTATTTCTAATAATCGATAAGAATATTGACTATCGACCGCAACACAGCTGTTTAAATGTCATTGGCAAGCACTAGAAATAGCGAATTTTGGCAACCCTGAATGAAAAGAGTCCAACTAGAAGAAGTGGGAGTTGCATTTGCTTAATTAAAAACAAACAAATATAAATAATAGATCTGTTTCGCCAAGAAATAAAGTGCAAATGCAAGCAAAATGGGTAATCAATTGGTTGGCATTGCACCATCGCAGATCTATGCAGTGGAACACTATTTTTCAGGCCAGTTTGGCAATGAAATCATTTTCGACTTGAAGTAAGTATATATTTAACAGCTGGTTATTTATTATGCATAAGTATATATGTATGTGCATATACATATGACGTCTTATCCATCCACAGCATGGGAAGTACACGATTTTTTAAAGTGGCCAAAGCTAAAACTGAAGAGGGATTGATAGTGGTCAAGGTATTTGTCAAACATGATCCAACATTACCTTTGGAGGATCACAAAGAGCGCTTGGAGAGCATCAAAAAAACTCTTGCCAATGCTGTTAACTGTTTGCCGTTCCAGCGAGTGGAGGTAAGTCCTTGATAGCATCGTTTAATCCAGACGCTAATCAGTTTTCATACCAGCTCATTGACAAAGCAGCCTACATAATGCGGCAGTACGTTAAGCATAGTCTATACGACCGCGTTTCCACGCGACCTTTTCTCACTGTGCTGGAAAAGAAATGGATATCATTCCAAATATTATGCGCCCTGAACCAGTGTCACAAACAGAAAATCTGCCATGGCGATATAAAGCTTGAGAATATATTGATTACCTCTTGGAATTGGATTCTGTTGTCAGACTTTGCTTCATTCAAGCCAACATATTTACCAGAAGACAATCCAGCAGACTATACTTATTTTTTTGATACGAGTAGACGTCGCACTTGTTATATAGCTCCAGAGCGCTTTGTCAAGACTTTGTCTTCTGAAGATGATCCATATAATGCAAATATGTCCGTTATACATTCGGATTCTATAATACCTGTTCCCACATCATATACAGGCAACACTTTGCAGCCCGCAATGGATATATTTTCTGCTGGGTTAGTAAGTCATTATTTTCGATGAAACGTAATATATGTATTTCTATTTGCAGCTGTGCCTTGCTAGAGCTTTGGACAGAGGGCACTGCCCCATTTGAGTTATCACAATTGCTCGCCTATAGGCAGGGCGAACGAGATCTTGTTGAGAAACATTTGGCTGGCATTGAAAATGAGCGACTGCGTAGTTTACTGGCATCCATGATTGACATTAACTCATTAAATCGAAAGAGCGCAGAGGATTATTTAGATCAGGAGCGCGGTAAACTGTTTCCGGAATACTTTTACTCATTTCTGCAGTCATATTTGCAAATGTTCTCATCGACTCCAATTATGTCTCCGGATGATAAGATACAGTGTTTGCACAAGGACATCGGACATTGCATTAAGGTGCTGACAAATGCACAGGATTTGACGCCCAGTGAGGAAGACAAAGAAAATATAGAAAAGAAAGACCCGGTGAAGTGTGAGCGGCTGCCGCCAGAGCAAGATGGTCTTATACTAATCATAACAGTGGTTACCTCTTGCATCAGGGGTCTCAAACAGTCCAACACGAAAATCGCTGCATTACAGTTGCTCCAAAAGTTATCCAAGTATACCACATCGGAAACCATACTGGATCGTATATTGCCCTATATTGTATGTTATTGATTATTTATCAAATTTATAATCTAATGTATGTATATTCTCTGTAGCTGAATCTGGCTCAAAAGTCGCCAGCCAAGGTGCAAGTTCAGGCCATCGAAACGTTGACTGCATGCCTGAGCATGGTGAAGGACATTCCACGCAGCGATGCCAATGTGTTTCCGGAATACATACTACCCTATATCGCAGACTTGGCCAGCGAATCTAGCGCTGTCATCGTGCGTGTGGCCTTTGCCCGCAATATTGCAGCATTGGCCAAAAGTGCTGTTTATTTTCTGGAGGAAACACAGCGAAATGCACCAAATGAAATGCCCACGCCCCGCTACGAGGCGGAGTTGAATGCATTACACGATATTGTTCGCCAGGCGGTGTTAAGTTTGCTGACGGACACCCAACCCATTGTCAAGCAGACGCTGATGGAGTCAGGCATATGTGATTTGTGTGCATTCTTTGGCAAAGAGAAGGCAAACGACGTGATACTCTCGCACATTATGACGTTTCTCAATGACGAGGACAAGAATCTGCGCGGCGCATTCTATGACAACATTGCCGGTGTTGCCGGCTATGTGGGCTGGCAGGCATCGGATATACTGGTACCGCTGTTACAGCAAGGCTTTACAGATCGCGAAGAATTTGTCATTGCAAAGGCCATACGTGCGGTGACCATTCTAATCGAATTGGGACATATAAGAAAGCCTACCGTAACTGAGATTGTTAAGGAAACCGCCTGCTATTTGTGCCATCCCAATTTGTGGATTCGCCATGAGATTTGCGGCATGATTGCGACCACTGCCCGCAATTTGAGCGCCATTGATGTGCAATGCAAGATTATGCCAGCCATTGGAAGGTTCTTAAAGGCGCCGCTCATACAAGTGGATAAACCGCACATTCTGCTAGACTGTTTATTTCCGCCCATACCCAGGCAAATTTATGACAGTGTGCTGCGCTTCCAGGATGTTCAATGCTTTGTCGGTGCTCTTGAAGATCGCGCGCGTTTGCGTGAAAATGCACGAAATGGTGCGCAACCACAATATGATGAAATGGGCAGAAAGGTCTATGATGGAGTGCAACGCTTGGAGGACATTCAATACTATGTAGGTTCTGTTGGAGATCGTGCACGGTGGCGAGGAATTACTCGTCCTGGAGCCCAACCGCAATTTGATGACATGGGTCAGACACTACTCAATGTAAGTGCTTTGGTAATTTTGGTCGGTCCTATTGAACCACTCACATTTCCAAAACACTACAGCTCTTTCGACGACTCATCTCGGAGGGATTGACGGACACCATTGAGTTGCAATTGTTGGCAATGAAACCTTTTCTAATAGCGCTTAAGCACAAGGCTCAACAAGATATCGATGATGGTAATTCAGCCAATGGGCGGATCCTGGTCAGCCGCAAGCACGTTGCCTGCCACGAATATCCACTGGCGGAAAAGGCAACAAAATTGACCCTGGATAATCGTAAGAATTTAAAGAAATCAACTTTGAGTATTTTTGATAAGCATAGTTTTCATTCAGGAACCTCTCATGATACGCATGCACAAGCAGTAGTTTCACCGGCTTCAGATGTGGGTGTAACTCCACACATAGCTGGTGGTTCCTCCGGCAGTCCTGCATCCGGCGCCATGCTACTTGGAGTTCCACCAACAACAGTGAGTGCCGCCACTTCATTGGGCGAATATACCTTGCCGGATCGTAACTATTCATTAGAGCGTTCGTCGGAGTGTTGCAAGGACCTAGAGTCGTTGACTCTTAAAATCAAGCGACGCTACAATGTGCTGGCACTCTCGCAGCGTTGCAACTATGATAAGCTGGTCACTCCGTATCCACCGAATTGGCGCCTAAATGGCACACTAGTGGCACATCTACATGAGCATTCTGAGTCGGTAATTAAGCTAGCGCCACTGCGCCCGGATGGCTCGTTGTTTGCCAGCGGCAGTATTGATGGTACTGTCAGGTTGTGGGACTGCAGCAAGCTAAATGGCAATCAGGGAATTAACAAGTCGCGCCAGGTGTATTCTGCCCATACGCCTGTTTATGCATTAGCTGCATGCGATGCTGGACAGTCGCTGGCTGTGGGTGGCAAGGATGGCAGTTTGCTTATAATGCGCATTGACCGAAATTCCACTAAGATGACGCTGCAGCAGGCCTTGGATCAGAAGTAGCTATTCACCAATCTTTTGTTGCGCATTTCATCTAATCATCTTTCTCTTGCTTTGCAGTGAATTCAACGATGGCCCCGTTGTGGATATGCATGCATATGATCAGTCGGCGCAGAGCGTAATCGTCTATGCCACACTATATGGGGGTATTGTGGCCTGGGATACTCGCATGCAGCATAGCGCCTGGCGATTGCAGAATGAGTTGCGCCATGGCGTTATTACCACCATCTGTGCAGACCCAACTGGCTCCTGGCTGGCAACGGGCACCAGTGGTGGCAAACATATCTGCTGGGACCTGCGTTTCCGACTACCCATAACTGAGATAAAGCATCCAGCTGATTCTTGGATTAGAAAAGTTGCCTGCCATCCGACAGAGCCATCATATCTAATCTCAGCATCGCAGTCCAATAACGAGGTATCGGTTTGGAATATTGAGACCAGTCAACGACAAACAGTGCTGTGGGCGAGTCCAGCGCCCGTCTTAACCAATACCACTCAAAATGATCCAGCCACAACATGCGGTATATTGAGCGGAGTGGTCGACGGATCACCGTTCATCTTGACAGGTAGTTCGGACCAGCGCATTAGGTACTGGGATATAGGATCACCAAGGAATTCGGCCTTAAAGGTGCCAGCTTCAAATGACAATTTGGCCAATGTGTCTTTTAACTATAGGTATGTTAAAATTGGCTCCATGTCCTAAAACCAATTTAATATTTTATTTATATGTATGTTTGCGTCTTTCAGCGCCCGTCTTATCGACGGCAGTCAGGTGATTGAGGAGCAAATCATTCCCAAAAATAGTATAGGCGATTCACAACAGATGCGCGCTTCAATAGAGGAAAGCCCTAGATCGGGACCCGATATGCCTAAAGCAAGTCATCACGATGCCATCACTGACTTGCTCATGTGCAAGGATAAGGGACAGATATATATAGCGTCGTCGTCGCGAGATGGTGTTATTAAGCTATGGAAGTAGAGGAAGCTTATTTAAACTCTTTTTATCTGTGATTAGTCTAATTAAACTAAATAAATAATCAATGCCTGCATAAATGTGCGCATTTTAGATTACCACTTTACATACGTTAAGTTCAAATTCTTTGGTGCATTGTTTTACTGTGGGTCGTAAGACTTAGACAGTGCTGCCAGATCGTTGTATAATGGAATCGTTGCCTGCTTCCGAACTACATTCCGAACGTCTTTGACGTGCTGGCAACGGTAAATATGCGGAAACATAATGACAACCCTGGAAATAGACGCTGCAACCAACTTCATATTCTGTGACATCTGCAGCTGGCGCTGTTTTTCGCTTTTGTATCTTTGCAAGCGCCGTTATGAACAGAGCGGCCAAGCGCCATAATTCCAAGTGAAAAGTGATATTGTGAGGCAACTAACGAATAAACAATATATATTAAGTTTTGCTCACAATAAAACAACGAATCATTTGAAACATCGCAACGGAGCGCGCAAATAAGTCAAAGTACCAAAATTTAAAATAGAATATAATAAACGCTCGGCAATTACATCGCGCACGCAGTCGCTGTGTAGCAGGACAAAAACAACAACAACAACAGCCGCAGAAGCAGAGGCAGTAACAGAGCCAGCGAGAACATAGAAGCATTTCAAAATGGCGCCAATTAAAGGTACTACTCGAACTGCTACAAGCAACCAGGCGACCATAAACGCACTTCTGCCGATGGCAGCCGTACGAGGAAAGGGTTTGACCCGTCGGCAGGCCAACAGTGTAATTGATCAAAATGTGGAAAATATGCAAACGCGTGGTAAGCGCAAGGCCGACCATAGCCCCATTAAGAATGATAAGATCAAGCGCTCGGCGCTGGGAAATTTGACCAACAATGTTAAGATCATGACGCTACATCCGGGCGACGAGGACACCCAACAGCAGCTGCCAAAAAAACCGACGGCACAGCAACTGCAGGCGCTTCTGGATGCAAAGAAAAATGACAATTCAAATATTATAGCCGCTGCCGCTGCTCCAGCTATTGCTGCTGCTTTGCCCAACAAAATAATGACGCGCGCCTCATCCAAGTCAGAGGATACGGTGGAGAACTGTCACAGAGCGCTGGACAGATTCGAGGAGGCGCTGGCTCTAAAAAGGACACGTAAGCCGCCAGTGGCACAGAAGAAACCAACCACAGTGATTGCAGAACAGAAAATTGTCACTGCGCAGGCGCCAGTTGCTCCCAAATTGGCTGCACCTCATCCGGCAGCTGCCATAAAGGTGCGACGCATCTCAAATGACTTTAATAAGACTGAGGAGAGCCTCTATATGTCCGCACTGGAGGACATCTCCAGTTGCGATTCCATGCGCTTGTCCGGCAATTTCGAGGCAGCGCGTCGCCTCTCTGCTAAATTACAACTAAAGACTGAACAGCCAAAGCCAGCAACGGTGCAGGAGCAATCGGTGCTTACGGAGGCAGCATCCGCTGCAGTGGTGAGGCCAGTGACTCCCGTGCCAGACGATGTGGAGGACTTTGATCGCAAGAATTGGGATGATCCCTTCCAGGTGTCCAACTATGCAAGGGATATTTTCAATTACTTGAAAACGCGCGAGCCAGAGTTTCCCATTACCGATTATATGCCCAAACAGATCCATTTGACAACCTGGATGAGAACCCTGCTGGTCGACTGGATGGTCGAGGTGCAGGAGACATTCGAGCTGAACCACGAAACTCTCTATTTGGCTGTTAAAATTGTCGATCTCTATTTGTGCCGCGTGGTGATTAACAAGGAAAAGCTGCAACTGCTGGGGGCTGCTGCCTTCTTCATTGCATGCAAATATGATGAGCGCCAGCCGCCGCTAATTGAGGACTTTCTGTATATATGCGATGGAGCCTACAATCACGACGAACTGGTGAAAATGGAAATGGAAACGCTGCGCACGATTAACTACGATCTCGGCATACCGCTCTCCTATCGCTTCTTGCGTCGCTATGCTCGCTGTGCCAAGGTGCAAATGCCAACACTCACTCTAGCGCGCTACATCTTGGAGCTGTCGCTAATGGACTATGCCACCATCAGTTTCAGTGACTCGCAAATGGCCTCGGCCGCTCTCTTCATGGCACTGCGCATGCATGGCGGCACCGCCAACCTGAACAACAAAACCTGGACATCGACGTTGATCTTCTACACGGGCTATCAGCTGGCCGATTTTGCTGAAGTGATTCCCGTGCTGAATGCTGGATTGCACAGGAAGCCGCGGGCCACCATCAAGACGATACGGAATAAGTACTCGCACAAGATATTCCATGAGGTGGCCAAGGTACCACTGCTCAGCAATGTCGAGCTATTCCAAAGCAATCTCGATCTGAACGACAGTAACTTATCCACCTGAGCCACACAATTGCGGGCCTCGCTCTGTTGTAACGCCAACTAGCCAAATTGATAATGAGCAACAAATGTTACGCTTCACTAGATATATAAGACGCTTCAATCAATGATACCTTTAGAGATGCCGACCAGTCAAAATATCAACTGTAATAGCAAGATAATTATATTTTATTTCATATTATTTTCGAATTATTTTGTACTTTTTATTGTTTGCTTTATTTTTGGCTTACATGTATGACTTTTTCCATAAAATCTATGTTTCGCATGCTGATTGTTTCAATTCATGTTTATTGTTTACACCTCTATTATATACATATATATCAAATTACATATGCCTCCATTAAGCAGGACAGCAAACCTTTGTCACCCATCTATTTAAATGTATGCTATTCATAGTCTGGAGAAACCCTTAATAAATTTTACACATACTTTAAGCAAGTGCAACGCCAACGCCGTTTGATGATGGTGGACACCAAAGCTGACATGGATTACACGTGCTAACACTTAATACCATACGGATCCTTACACGTCTAGTAGTACTAACAACTAACCGATGCCAAATGCCCTATGCAGGTGATGGCCCATTTCTATTTATGTATGTTATGTTGTAGTTGTTGTAAAATGATGATTTCTTTTGTTACCATTCACGACTCAATGTTTTAGTTTGTAATGGCGAAAAGAACTTTCTATTTTCTAAATAACTAGTTATGTATGTATTCGTATTCCATGTTATCTATATATATATGTATGTACGCATGTATGTATGCAGGTATGCTGCCGCGTCAAGAGAAACCAATAAACAATTTTAATGTCCATTCAAGAAATTGCATGTTCAGTGTGGGGGAATTAGAAATACTTCTAGGTAAGTAAATCTAGTTCTCTGTATCCACATATACATATATCTATTTATGTATACATTTATAGCTGAACAGCCATTTGGGATAGCTCTAGTTTCTATTGTTTTCGTTCAGGTGAGTCTAGCTGACACACACACACATACAAACACATATCAATAATCTATGTTTTTGATTTCAGGGTCTGGATTTTTTTTTGTTTTTTGGCGCGCCCGTCTGCACATTTTAGCGCCAAATTATTTTGGGTTTTGGTTGGCAGGCTGCGCATGCGCCGCAAGACATCAACCTCGATGCCTCTTCCCGTTCCCGTCGCCGTTGCCGTTGCCGTAATCGTCTTTGTCCAACAAATCACTGCATACATAACCAATTTATGTCGCTGCAGTTGAGCCTGAAAAAGGGCAGGCAGCAGAGCCAGCAGAGGCAGCAGCAATAACAGCCGCCTGTCTGTCTCCTTGACGTTTTCTACCACCTTTCCTTGTCGGTCGTCGGTTGTCGGTTGTCGGTCGCCTGTCGTCCGTCCTCCGTCGTCTGTCCTCCTGCCATTGTGCGCCTGTACTTCATTTTTTTTCGGCTGCCAGGGCTGCCTTCAGCCAGGTAGTTCAATGCTCATTGTGTGCTTCCTCAACAGAAATAGTGAGGCAACTGAAATGCATGTTTCTTTTTTCCGGTTCGCAAGGTAGGGTGCCTTATGTACATACGTATAGGACAAAAGGCTAAGATGTCCTCGTGTTGATGTCGTCCTCTTATTTTTCGTGTTCCTGTTGCTGCTGTTGCTGCCGCTGCTTAAGGTGCAACCGGGGTATTACTTCGGTTGGGTGTGGGCAAAAAATCAAGTTTATTAAAACAGATTCGGTCGAGCAGCTGCTGCTCTTCTTAAACCTGACACGGTGAGGTTAGCTTACACCTAACTTATGACCATAACTTATAATCTTTCTAGCGTTTAGCTTTTCAGTAACCTGGCCTGTTGAATGCGCCATTATAGCCGCCTCCAAAACCACTGCCATAGCCCTGCGAGCCGTGATTGTTCAGAACGCTGAATGGTCCCTTGTGTACTCCATCTTCCGTGTACTCAGTTTTCATTCTGAAGCTGCGATCCCAACGATCACGTTGTCCTGGTGCCGCTTGTGGTGCATAATTTTGCTGATTCTGATAGCTTATGGGTGGCGCGCCTGGATGCGTTATTACAGGCACGTTTGGTCCATAGTTTGGATAAGGTGGATAGGATGGATACTGTGGTAAGTATTGTCCTGGATACGGGTAAGCAGGCAGTACAGGGTATACAGGTTGTTGATTTCCATAACTTGGATATACGCCTGACGGATTGACTCCAGGACGAGGCAGCACTTGCGGATTTCCATTCGCTGCATATCTGGGAATCTCAGCTGTCTGTGGTTGTCCAACTGGTGCGGGATAATTTGAAAAGCCATTCGGCTGTGGCTGTGGATTTCTTACAGCAGTTCCATACGGTCCAGCGCGTAGATCGATGCCACTGCCGCCGTTCTCATGAGCAGACGGCTCATCAATATCAACTGACCCACTTGATTGCTGCCTTAGATCTGGATATAATTGCGAGTTAAGTTTAGCACGCTCATGATGACGACTGCTGGTAATTCCGCCTTTGAAAGTGGAGGCCAAGTTGAATTCGGTCTTGGAATCTTCGTTACTCTCATCCCGCGTGTAATGTGACGCATGAGTCAGGACAGCGGTCAGGGCCAACAGCAGCCAAACAAAGGCAACGCAGCACCGCATGACAAAACTTCTCGTGAAACTGGACCTTACTAGCGAATGCCAAGCTTATTTACACCGCGATTAAATGATTCTATGGCTGTAGGGGTTATCATTCGGGTCAGCTGCTAGACTGAGATGATTTGTGTTTCATTGAGGAGTAAATAATCAAAAGTTCGCTGATGTTTGCAAATCCGAATTATTGATTCTCTGATTGGTTCATATTTATAAAAATTGTATGTTTTTTTTTTTACTTTTTGCTGGTATTTTCAAGCATTAAGTTCATTAACAAATGAAATATTAAATTAAATTATTTAAAAGGCAAGTCTCAATTTCCACACGACAGAATGTTTTATGGAAATATTGATTTTACTCTATCCGGAATTCCCCATGCTTTTTATTTTTAGCCAAAAACATAGTTGGGTTGGCCAAACCTTGACTTCGTCGAGCAAAATAGACAACGAATAGACCTGATACCCGCTATGCGATTGACCTATTAACGATAGGGATCATCAGCTCCATTGAAGGCTGTTCATTCAATGAACACATATATATGTTGATTATCAGCTATATAAGCACGATTCTCGGCAAAGGAAAGCGTCATATTGATTCTCAACACTATCAAAGATGCAGCTCAACATTGGATTCTGCTTCCTGCTTTTGGCATCTCTGCTGACTGCGCAGGCAAAACCTACATTCGATAAAATGGCTGAAGTGCTGCTTGATGTACTAGATGATAGGCCGCATTATGTCAGACCGAGGCCATATGGGCCAGTTCCATCGTCTGGCCCACTCATACAGGAGGGCTATGATCATGGCTACGACTATTACTATGGCGGCGGTGGAGCTTATGTTCACGGCAGTGGCGTTAATGTGGGCAATCCCTATGCCCAGCCTCCTCCTGCGTATGGCTATTATGGTTCAGGACCTGCACATGGACCAGTGAAGGGCTACTATCCCGAGCCACACTATCCACCGCAAGGCTATGTACCCCCTTCTACATATAGACACGAACATGGCCATGGTCACGGTCACGGAGTGGGTGGCTACAAGCAACACGGTTATTAGCGTTAATTTGCGATTATGATTACATATTTAAGGAACTCATAATCTTAAGTATTGATATATAATTTATTTGAATGATGAACATTTGTAAATAAATATCTTGTTGTTATCTCGGAACTTGAGTAAACTCGTAAGCTACTTCTGATCAGGGAGAACATTGAACTGCAAGAACTTTGTGCCCATTGAGAACGGATAGATCTGCAATAGAACATTTTCTTATTTATATTGAAAACAGGCTAAACCAACTTCACAAACAGACCGTCTACTATTTCAATATATGTATGTATTTAATTTATATTGAATAGTAGAATATGAATTGTAATAAAGCTATTCTACATAAGTTAAATACTTATTTCCCTTTTCTTATATGCTTGTAGATTCGTAGCTGTTTAGCAGCTTGAAAAACCTGTTTGTAGACCTCATAGCCTCCAGACATAAAAAGCCGAACTTGAGTATGAATCTCTGAGAGCACTGAGCCGTGCGAATGTACAACTTTATTTGTGCTTATTAAATTGCAAATCTGCTATAAATATAAATGTATAATTTATATCTTTACAGAGTATAAGAGGAGGATTGGCTAACCTATCGCTTAGATCATTTTCGTCTGCGCACATCTATAGGTTCAGATTGAAGTTCCTGGCTTGGACTATGTATGTAATTCAATGCGTTGGGAAATACAATGTCGCGCAGTCGGGATAGCTCAATCGATCGAGAAGATGGAGTTGTTGTTGTAGGTGGTTGTAGGGGTGGACGATTTGTGCCCACGATTAGCGTATCTCCGGTTCTCGGAGGCGGAGTGGGCGATATAATCAGAGGCGGTGGATTTTTGCCAATGATCAATGTATTCTGGGTGGGTTGGGTGAACGGCACGGGTGTCGTTGTAGTTGTAGTTGACGAAATCTCAATTGGAGGCAATTGGAATTGCTGACTGCCATCGGCCCCGGTGGGACGTGAAGGATCGAACTCATTCGGTGGTTGCTGTCCATTTCCACTTTCCCAGCCATGTGGCGGTTGTCTATTTCCATTTTCCCAGCCAGGCGGTGACTGTCCATTTCCACTTTCCCAGCCAGGTGGCGGTTGTCCATTTCCATTTTCCCAGCCAGGTGGTGGCTGTCCATTTCCATTTTCCCAGCCAGGTGGCGGTTGTCCATTTCCATTTTCCCAGCCAGGTGGTGGCTGTCCATTTCCATTTTCCCAGCCAGGAGGCGGCTGTCTACTTCCATCTCCCCATCCAGATTGTGGTGGTCCATTTCCATCTCCCCATCCAGGTGGTTGTCGGTTTCTGTCTGTCCAACCGGGAGGTTGTCGCTGGCCACCACCAGCACCCCAGCCACCCCACCCAGGAGGTTGTGGTCTGCCACCGCCAGCACCCCAGCCACCCCACCCAGGAGGTTGTGGTCTGCCGCCAGCCCAGTTTCCCCAACCGGGAGGTGGACGCCTTCCACCACCATTCCAGCCACCGCTGGTATTCCAACCACCTCCGCTATTCCAACCGCTGCCGCCATTCCAACCACCGCTACTATTCCAGCCGCTGCCGCCATTCCAACCACCGCCTCGGTTCCAACCACCGCCGCCATTCCAGCCATTGCCACCATTCCAGCCGCCGCCACCAACACCACCCCATGGTGGTGGCTGCCGTCTTCTATCTGGTATGCCTCCTAGTTGTCTGCCGCCGAAGCCAAAGCCTTGCTGAAGTATTGGAGCTGCGGCAGCAATGGTGCTAGCGGATGCCGTTGCACCATCAGCTGATGCCGAAGACGTTGCCACAGCGAACTGGGCAGCGCCCATTCGGATTAGGCATAGCAAACACGTTGTCAAGGCCGTTGGCAAATGAAATCGTATTCGCGTCATGTTTACTTATGATCGCATCGAAATTCAGCGCCCATGCGCTAAGAGCTGCGAGTTCTAACTGAGGGGAAAGTTTTTGCTTTTGACGTTCGGCATTCGGCGATAAGAGAGACAACTCAGATTTGAATTCGAAACCTGTCTTCGGTTTGTTTGTTTTGCTTGTTGTGCTTGCGGCTTGTGCTAATCAATACACAATGAGAGAGCGTGAGAGCCATAACAGCTTTGCTCTCTAACGGAGCGTATAATACGCGATCATGAAAATTTGTATACAAGAGCTTGAGAGGAAACAAGATGTGGACAGCCGTTGACCGATGATCGGCGACTCATGGATCCGCTTGAGCGGCTGCTTCCCTCGCAGTGCGTTTATCACGGACGTGCTCGGCATAGCAAAATGTTTTGATCCATCAGTTAATGTCCAAATAATTCATAGTAATGCATTAAATTGTTGCTGCTTGGATAGAAATTAGCATTATGGCAGCAGATCTCCAGCGATCCAGGTGCCTTTATGTGCTGACAGACACAAAAACAAAACGATTAAGAGCATAATGTGTCATCGGTGTCCAGGCTCTAGTCGCAGGGTATAAATAGAAGCCCGCTGCCCAGATTTATAGCCAGAACGCAAAAGATCCGCACGGAACCAGAACCACAACGAGAATTCAAACAATATGCGAGCTCCAATCATAGTGTTCCTCGCCTTGCTGCTGGGCAATTGCCTGGACTTGGGCAACGGTTTGCTCTTCAAGAAGCTGAAAGCACTCAAAGGTCTGAAGAGTGGTTACAGCTCTGGCAATGGTGGTTATGGCTACAATTCGAACGTGGGATATGGAGGATATGGTGGATATGGTGTATATAAAGGATATGGCGGATATAATGGCTATGGCAACAGCTATAGCAGCGGCTACGGCGGTGGCTACGGCGCAGGCTATAGCAGCGGTTATGGCAGCGGCTACGGCGGTGGCTACGGCGGTGGCTATGGCGGTGGCTATGGCAGCGGCTATGGCAAAGGCTACGGCTATGCCAGTGGCTATGGATATGCGCAGCAGTCCTACAGGCCAAAAAATCGGCAACGTACCGGACGCACCTACTCACAGATAGCCAGAGTCCTAAGGCCAGACCCGTATCTAGGGCTAGGCGCGGGCCGCTATCTACCGCGCGCTCCTTACTCACATTTGTGGGGCTGACTAATTTAATACGAAATTTGTGTAAAGCTCAAAAATAAACCTGTGAAAGTTACATATGATATAATAAACTTTAAGTACACCACAAGTTGTTACGTGCTTCTATGTGAGACAATTTTAATTTCTTCTCTTCTTAATTAGTATTTAAATGTACTATATACATCCATATATGTCTGTATTTGTTTGTATCTATGTATGTAAATCATAAGTACTAGCCGCGGGTAGTTGTTGATCGATGCGACGTGACTGAAATGCGACTATGTCGCTTAGAGATGGGAGTGTCACGTAACTGTCACGCGAATCACGCTCAAGAAAACAAATCTAGTTCATTTATATGTCGAATTCGTAGTTTTATCTACAGCTATATGCTATATATGTATGTATCTCAGTTCCGAGAGACTCTTTACCGGAATTTTGATCGCTGACATTATTTCTCATAGCTCAAGTAATTTATTTAATGATTGAGTCTATTAGAGACATACGTAGAATAGATAGATAAGACTTGATCATATTTCTCTAGGCAAGTCCACTTATATCCAAATTCCTGATAGGAAATATAAACGTATTGTTCTCGCAATAGTAAACATTTCTGCCTAGATAATTGCTCATAACCATTTACGATAAATACCAACAACTGTCGCACCTACGTCATTAGCAGCTCATATGAAACTTTTTAGCTACACTTTAAGCTGTCGAAGTTATGCTAAGCTAAGCTATGTTAACCCTCTAATGCTGTTTTCTTAACTATTGGAGGAAAATAATTGGAACAATTTTTTTTAAAGTAAATTTAGGCTTCTAAACTCAAAAATGAACTCAGAAAAAATATAGAAGTTTTTGTTTAGCCGTCAGGTGCAAAAAAGGTAATAAGTGTCTCAAGACACTTATGAGCGTTAGAGGGTTAAATCATTCACATCTTAGTTTGAATGAGATTGTTGAAAACTAAGATCTATACATCGAAATGTACGACAATTTAAAACGTGTTTCTAACTTTCAGCGAGCTCAGTGTGAGTGATGTTCTTAACGTGCATTTAATTTATTGAGCTTAGAGCTTACATCGGAAACTGTATATCTTATTTCATAGGAATTCTAATGTTGTTATTGTTTTAGCTAAACCTGATCGATAAGCAGGAATTCTGAAGCATTGGTTCTTCTGACAGCATTTGCATATAAAAGTCTTCAGTGTGATACAGCTAAAGTGCAGTTCTTAATAAGAAACCTAAGCTGCAAAATGTCTCCGTTGCAAGCAAAGCTCTTGATGTTGGCTCTATTTACCTGGATTGCCCTGTTGGCGCTGGCTGTGGCTCTGCCTGCTAAATCATATACGGACATAGCTAGAGTGATCAATCCCAATCAATATATCTCAGGCGGCAAATTCATTCCAGGACAGGCTTATTGGCCGGGAGGACAAAAGATATAATTGAGAATATAATTTAGTTGTAAAAATATATATAAATTATATCAGATGATTGAATTTAATTAAGTAAATAAACATTAGCTCGCCTTGTCTTCAATAAAGTTTGACTCTTCTTTGTTTTAAATTCTTTTTATTTTTATTTAAGTTCTTTGTGCTACTAGAACGACCAGTTGAAGGTCACAGACCTTCACGGCATACATCGCATTCATTCATATAAATAATAAGCTTTTCGCTTCTTCTTATCTTGAAAGTACTTACTTAATATTCGCAAATTAAGCGAAACTCATATGGGGAATGAGTGCAGTACAGGTTTTTGTTTTTTAGGATACATAAAACATATATGTATTTTACTTTACTTTGTGATTTTGATTGACTCAGTGATATTTCTGTCTGTAATCAAGATCTGCAGCCACACTTCACCGAGTCACCGAGGAGTTCCCCTGGGTGTTGCGTAACTCTGGGCTTTTATATTCTTGAAAAATGGATTGATCACATTCTTAACGCTCCCCTATGGACGCACCCATGAGTGTCATTAGACAGTTGCAAATACTAAATTGCTAATTAATTGCTCAGCTGCTGAAATTATTTTAGCCAAATCATTTCTAGAGTCATTAAAATAGACTGTAAAATCTATGATTGAGGCGAGCATAAGTATGTGTATATAATAGCTTCTGAGTCAAGACGTGAACGCCGCCATCTCAAACCTGATCGAACCCAGAGTGAATGACATTTTGATGACACTACGAGATGATAGCAGAAGATCCCACGTCGCCTGTTGCGAGAAGAGGAGCTTGACAATGCCGATACGTGCGCCGCATGCGTCGCGTGGCACTGAAACTGTTTTCAAGCGGTGTTGCTGTTGTTGTTGTTGTTATTGTTATTGCTATTGTTGTTGTTGTTGTTGTTGTTGCTGTGGCTGACACACCAAAACCTGATCGATCAGACAGCAGAATTTCAAGACATTTCTGATGACTTACTTGGTATATAAAAGGCTTCGAGACGACGGCATTGTAGTGCAGTTCTCAATAGCAGTCCCTAGAAACAGAATGTCTCGATTGCAAGGCAAGTGCTTACTGCTGGCTCTACTGGCCTGCTTCACACTGCTCTCCATGGCCATGGGCTGGCCGGCCTATGGATACCGCAGAGAGCGTAACGGTCGCAGTTACACGGATATTGCTCGTGTCATCAATCCCAATCAGTACGCCTTTGTGGGCAGCCGCAACTATCCAGGACAACCGTTTTGGCCAGCGGGTCGCTAGAAATAAATATTATAATCACTAAAGCTTAAGAGAATTGAGTCAATTTGTATTAGTCTAATTTAAATACCCTGTAAATACTTGTGTGCATTCGGCTTACTATTAATCTCACTGCATTTATGATGCGCTCATAAAAGTGTGCAACATTTTTTGTTCATTCTTATTCTCTACAAACGAACATGTTGTTAATAAATTAATAAATTTAACTTTAGCTTGAACTATTGGCCTTACACATTTAAATATAGATAATGACGATACTATCGCTGCTGGAAATTATCTAGAAGAAGTTGGCAGCACTGGCTCCGTATTTACTGCGCCTGCCGCAAAGTCTGCTCTACTTTACTTTCTCAATAATTACCGTGGAAGTTTTGAGCAATTAATTCAAATGTTAATGATAAACTTGCATTAAAGTCGCAGCGATAGGCCACGCCCAGTCGCCTAGTCGGCCAGTCGCCAAGTGGTCCACCAATTACACGTGTTAAAGACGCTCAGTTGGCAGACAGCAATCACCGGCTAAGGACAGGCGAATAGCTCACATCATCGTTAAAATTGTGCGCCTCAATGGTTAATATTGAATCAACATCCAATGCCATCTGGTGGATTAAAAATCCGAATGCAGCCAAGGCGGGCGACACGGCTGGGCGCAAGGTGCCGCTTGGGTCGACCTTTTGTCAGGATATCGCTGAATTACTGCGCAATATATCCTTGCAGGGCTATAGCAAGCTGTTGGCAGCGGAATTTACGCTGGCGGAGCGGTAAGCGACTCTTGGAAAAACGCAGCCCGTTTCTGTTGCTTTTGCCGCACTTACGTCACGTTACTCATACGCAACGTGGACTCCATAGAAAATTTGCATTTTCGCATCCTTTGTCTTTCCGTCTCTTTAGGCGTTGCCATCAACGTCTACCTCACCGTCCCCATCACCGTCACCGTCACCGTCACCATCTCCTTCACCGACGCCGTATCATTGCTGTGCACTGTAGTTTAAAAATGTTTGCGTTCTCATTTTTCATTTCCGTTTCCGTGTTTGCCTCAAAAACTGCTCATGGCCGTGTGCTTTGTGCGTTTATCTTGGCGACATTGTCCCGCCACCCCGTATACGCCGTCCGTGTGCCCGTTTATTTGCAGATTAATTTGGCTGCTGGTGCACACAGTCACGCTCGTTTCAATGGTGGCTGTGCTCATGCTCACCTGGGAGCACTTTGTTGCACAATACTTTGTCATCAATCTGAAGGATCCACTTTATCCGGTTCAAAATGTGCCATTTCCGGCTGTGTCAATATGCTCCAACAATCGCATTTCCCTGCGGGCCGCCACTGCCTACGCCCTTGAGCTGTGAGTAGCCTTAATCTTTGCCTCTCTCTTTCGTGGCCTTAACTCGGCGTCATCCTCAAGCAGTCAGAGTAACGATCCATCGCCGCGTGAGCTGAAGTATTACCTGGACAAACTGACAAATCTGCGCCAGCTGTATATGTTAGGCGACAAGGAGACGATCAATGATGATTATGCTAACTTTCAAGCATTTCTGGACATCTTCGGCACCTGGAACAATGAAACCTTCTTTAATACGCGGCGTATCATGCATATGGTGAGTTAATCCATTCACATTGTTATTTGCTCTTTAATAACGTGCGATCTCTAGCTCTCGCCCACGTGCTCGGAATTTATAATAAAGTGCAGTCTGAACAATCTGAAAATTCCCTGCTTAAGCGAAAATGCTTTTCAGAAAAAACTGACGAAGTATGGTCCATGCTGCATTTTTAATAGCAATAACTGGCAAGTTTTGTTTATACTCCACAAGTATATATTATTAACAGTGTATTAAGTTCTATTATTATGCAGGCTTAAAAAAAGAAATTTTACTTATCGCTTGGCTGATTCGTCTTTCGGGCTGACAGTGGTCCTAAATTCGAGTAAAGCGGACTATTTGGCGCCAGTTTTGAACACCGATGGCTACATTGTTATAATTCATGATGCGGATAATTACCCGGCGGTAACATCGTCAAATTCATTGGAAATGTTTCCGGGACAAGGAGAAGAGAGTTATCTGAGAATTTTTGCACGTGTAATAGACACCGATAATAGTTTATACTCCTTTTCCCCATATGGCGTAAGTGTTTATGTACTTCCGCTTTAATTCTCTAATTCTATTCTATTTCATTGTTTGTTAGCGTCGATGTTATTTTCATACGGAAGCGAATATGCCAACGATAGGCTCCATTTACACTTTCCCCAACTGCATTACCAGATGCCGCATACGCAGCATAATTGCCCTATGCAAGTGTCTGCCCTTCCAGATGCCTCTGGAACTGGTGGAGAACTTAGACGGAGTGGTTTACTGTACGCTTGCCCATGTCGCTTGCCTTTCCAATTACCAATGTGAGCCTCTAGCGGCACCTGCTGCGCCTTATATCACTTAATATTGTCTTGACCACTTTCAGTTAAGTGGAATAATGTGCTGACCCAGAGACTTCGGATTCCGGGCCTGGAGCGTGAGTCAGAGGAAGCCTTGTTCTGTCCGCAGTGCCTGCCCTCTTGCAACGATGTTCAGTACAGTGTTTCTCTCAACGAGCTGCCAATTGACACTTACCTGGCGAGCCTATCACCTGACGAAGTCGACACTAGCCTGGGCACCGATTTGTCCGTCCTGAGAGTGTTTTTTGGAAAGCCGAATGCTAATTACTATATGCGGCTGTTGAACAACGAATGGTTTGAGATCTTCAGTAAGCGGCTAAACATTTATATATTTAGCGGAAATTAATTGAGACTTTTATTGTCAGGTACCGTTGGCAATATTCTATCAATATTTATGGGATTTTCATTGGTGGCCATTTTTGAGACGCTTTTCTTCATTTGCAAACACATTTACTTGGGCTGTCATCGCATATTGGAGCGCGGCAGAGCCAACAGCAAGGAGAAGAAGTTGGATGCGACAAAGCTAAAAATATATCCATGAATGAAAACTGAATTAATTGAAGAAAATGCCTGGAATCAAATGCTCTGCTTTTCTATTTGTAATTGTAGAAGCGGAATTCTTAAAATATAAAAATTCCTATATCTTTATTCACAATCAACACGTGGCTTCATTTGCGTGCTTCGTAATCCTGGGGCTACGGGGGAGGTTTCGTTTTTTTTTATATTTTTTGGAATGCCAGGCTAGACGAGGAAAAATCAAAAAGAACATGACCTGCTTTTGTCCTTGTAGCCACCCTAGATGATTATGACGATGACGATGATGATGATGATGATGATGATGATGATGATGATAATGATGATGATGATGATGGTGATGATGAAGATGTTGTTTCCGTTGGCTGACATTAAATGCGCATTTAACTAATTTCATTTTAAATTGTTGACAATTAAGGGAAATTGCCAAGACGAATCGAGAGCCTGCCTGAATAAACAGCCCATGGAGGCGGTAGTACCAATGCCAATGCCGAGCACCACGTGCCATGTCGCAGTTAATTTGTTGGCAATAAGTTGGAACACGAGGCCTAATTACAACAACACGCACGACATGACTGCAAAATTTTCATTAAAATGAGCAGGCATCAACACCCCGCCCCCTGGCCTTGCCCACTGGCACGACAATGCCAGGGGCAGGAGGAGCAGACTACAAAAAGGCGCGCACTGCGTAGACAGCCGCAACAGTTGCAATCCACAAACGGCTGAGTGAGTGCCAAACATGATAGCGAACGCAGAGCGGGTTGGTCCGGCGATGCCATCCAAACGTTTGGTGGTTGGACACGCCGCCTGGTGGATAGCCAAGCCGCGAGCTCGTCCACCTGCGCCACGCACGCAAATGGCGGCTATTCGCGATGAGGAGTCGGCAGCGCGAAAATTGTCATTTGCCGACGCAGTTAAGGATTTGCTGCAAAACCTGTCATTTCATTGTTATGGCAAATTAGTTGAGCACGGACGTGGCATTCAGGAGCGGTAAGTAAGCAGCATGGCCGAAGCCTAAAAGCCCTTGCTTCCCCCTTGTTGGCCGCCCTTTCAATTAGCCGACTCTGCCGCAGATTCTTTTGGCTTATCTGCCACATAACTGCCCTGACTATGCTAATTGCTTTCGTGTGGGGCACGTACAAGGATGCGACGGATGAGCTAGTCACCACGCTGTACGATCCATTGTATGCAGTCAGCAAAGTGCCCCTGCCCGCCGTTACGGTATGCTCCCAGAATCGCCTATCCAGGCGCGCCGTCTGGCGTTACGCACAGGAGCTGTAAGTTGAGTCCGGTTGTGGTAAGCCCTTCTCTAGCTATACCCTTTGGTCACCCTTTGCAGCAGCAGCAAGGATCCAAGACATCGCAACGCCACTTATTTCTATACGGAGTTGCGTGCCTTTAGCTTGTACTACGGCATCGATGAGAATATCGACGATGAGCGTGTTTTGCGGCTTCAGAGTTTGTTGGATCATTTGGATACCAGGCCGCATGATTTGTTTTTCAATCCGAAGGATCGGTTGCGCATTTTAACGCCGAAATGCAGTGACATTTTGGTATCCTGTCGCCTAGGAGGACGACCATTCGATTGCGTGCAGGGATTCCGTGAAACTCTCTCCAGTTTTGGATTTTGTTGCACTTTCAACTACAATGGAAGGTATGTAAATCTTATCCTATCTGATCTTGATATTAATAGTTTGTGTTTAGTTTTTCTGCAGCTCGATCGTATTACCAGCATTTTTTTGGATCTGATATGGGTCTGATACTGACACTCAGAGCCGCAGTTGATGATAGGTTTTCCGACAAGAACGATCAAGATGGGTTTTCGGTATTATTATTCGATTTACTGCTGCAAATGGATTTTCATATTCATTTCAATCACCACATCCCTAAATAGATTGCTATCAATGAGATACACAATTATCCGGATCCACAATCCGGCGGTGTTACGGTACGTTATGTAAAAACAGGTCGCAGCACTTATTTGCCAGTGCGTCCCCGAATCTTAGAGACTCTCCAGGAGGCCCGTCGCATGAGGCCCGCCGTGGTGCGTATTACAGACATCTGTCAATCATTGCCCAATCAATCAATATCGTGTTTATAGCGTAAATGTCGCTTCTGGGATGAGATGCCGCACAATTTCACTCGCCACTATACCTTCAGCAAATGCATCTCCGCGTGCCGCGCCCACAGCATCTACAGCTTGTGCCATTGCCTGCCCTTTCAGCTACCCATGCATTACGTTGTTGGCGCCACGGGACGTCTCTTCTGCACGCTACGGCACATGCAGTGCCTCAGGCACTACACATGTGAGTAGGCAGAGGCTGGGGCCCATTGTCGAGGCCGATTGAGTCTCTGATATTATTTCAGTCAAATGGAAGAATGTCATCACCAGTCGCGAGTATGTGCCCGGGCTGGAGCATGAGATGGTAGATGCGCTCTACTGTCCACAATGTCTGCCCTCCTGTAGTGAGATACGCTACAATGTGCGTGGTGCCGGAGCTCTAACCCTTCACAATCCATTTGGACACATGACGTAAGTAGAAAGTAGTAAGAGCTGAACAAAGGAACAGTTCAAGGACAATTCTCAGTGAAGGTTTGAGACCTATTCAATTTCTGCCTAATCAACTTCCAAATGAAAAATATATTTGCATACTTTCAGGCGGGCAGAAAATGAAACGAATTTGATATGTATATATGCGTATATATACTACTTAAATTTCTCTACTTGCAGTCAAGTCTTAAGCATTAAATTATAATATTATAATATTAAATTTCAGTTGCTTTAGTCTTTACTACAAAAGTTTCCCGATTGAGAGTTCTGTTTGTTATTTTGTTTAGCTCAATCTCAGTTGATGGTTCCCTGATGGGGTTACGTTTACCCTCCGTCAGTTGCCATAAATGAGTTTAATTTTGCAGTAACGTCCATAGCGGCAACATCAGCAGCCCGGGTAATAACAATTATGGCCATGACAGCTCCGAGTTGGCCGCTGTGCGTATTTACTTTGCCGAAACGCACATTCAATACTTTCGGCAGATTATTAAAAACGACTGGTACGAGATCTTCAGTGAGTCTGCTGCATATTACAATTTCCAACAGCAACAGAATACAAATACCCCGGCGCGTATATATATACGGCGTGTACTGCTTCATTTCCAGGTACAATTGGCAACATCTGCGGCATCATAGCGGGCTTCTCATTGATTGGCATCTGCGAGCTGCTATTTTTCGTAGCCAAACAATTATGGCATGCATATAAAGCGGAACGGAAGTCGGATCTCTTTCATACCCACACTCGGTCCCGAGCCCGGACTCGGGCTAATGGCCGTGCAAAGGCAACTCAGCAGCGGCAGCCAATGGAGCTCCTCATACTGCCGTAATTGAGCGAGAGGCCGTGCCAATTTTAAAGCTCACTGACTTTTATACAGTTCTCTGCACGCATTTATAGAGTAGCACTCCTATAGTATATGACGTGAGCTCAAGTGTGTGTACGTGTGTGCGTATGTGTTTGTGTGTGTATTGCTGTTGACCTACGAAGCAAATGTTAATTATCGTGCACTGAGCAGCTGCCAGCTGATTGTAGGCCGGGAGCACAACTCAAGTGCACTTACTTTGCATTGTCACATAAAAATAAACAGCATCAGGAGACGCTCAGTCCAACTTAGAAAGCGGTGCACGACGGGCGAGGGGTGGAAAGGGGCGTGGGGGGCTACAAAAAGGTCCAGGCGGTAACATTAGCGCCAACAATCTTGGACACTTGCCCACTGGCTGACTGGCTGACTGGCCAACAGTTGGCAGTCGAAACAGTCGAACAGTTATGGACCACAAAGTCGAGGAGTTACCGAAAACATTTCCAAGGCTGTTATCCTTGGCACATGGCCCGACTGGCACTTACAATCAAAATAAACTTTTATTTCGGATCGTTTGTGCAGAGATTGACAAAATGAGTAAACAAATGAAAACCTATCCATGCATACATATGTTGAATTTCACAAATATTAGAGAATCCCTCCACAGAGGAATTTTCCAATATCTAGTTTAAATTATTCAATTATAATAAATGTTCAATGTTCAATGATGTGTAAAATGTTATTGATTAGTAATGATTAATGCATAATGCATGCATAATTCATAAATATTTGAAATTTATATCAATTAGAGTTACAGTAGATTGTGTTATGGGTTTTCATTAAAGCCACTGAGCACAAAGGATTCATGGAATTCCGAAATATGTTATCTTGTATTGTTTTTTTTTATGAATTCCGACTTTCAATTGATTTCCACATTTATTCGTCTGGCCAAAGCTAACAAAGTCCACACACACACCTATACAAATAGTCGTATGGAAATTCTTTGGCCAGAGTCTGAAAATTGAAATGATTTCCGTTGAATTTTTAAGGGAGTTTCTTTGCTTTGCCTTGTCTGAAAATCTGCCTAAAAATTGCAAACAAAAAATTAAAAAAAACGCACTCGAGGAGCGTAGCAAACGATATTTCTAGACACATCGCACTGCGCCAGCAAAGCAGCCCAGGTAAACACTAGAAAGCAAAAAAATGTATAACAAAAAATAAAACCCTTGCCTGCCCGGCTTCTATGAGAGACAGACAGTTTTTCCACCCGTGTGGCGTATTATCGCACAATACAATATGTATATTGGATTATTTCGTTTGTGCGCGCTCCCCCGGTTCCGCCTTGACTACCTCGGCTACCTCCTAATGGCATTGCCGGCCGCATCTACACACAGACACAGCAAAACACAAACGTGCATATCGACAGTTGTTTGGCATGGACGTAGGGCGTATTTGGCTAACAGGAAGCTCACAATGTGGGCGATTGCAATAACGGAATCAGTTCTTTTCGTTACACATCCGCACACAGCCCAATAATGTGCAGGCATTTTCAGATATATTTTCTTTGATTTTTGCAAGCTTGTATTGTTCATAAAGATTTTAATTGAATTTTCGAAAGTGGTGTGTAAGAGATTATTGACCAAAAAATATAGACAACGGCTTCCATAAGGAATCTGTACAGCACCACAAATTTGGCTAGGAATTCTCATTTAATGAAATCGAAAAGAATTGAGTCAGTCAGGTAAACCAGTTCTCTCTGTTTTGTTTCATGGTTTGATTCAGATTTGAACTCGTTTGTTTTCTATGTGTGCTTTAAGGTTTCATTCATTTATGATTAACTTCATGAAAGAGACTCAAAGAATATTCTGTCTATTTGAATTTATTTGTCCAACAATTCTAAAATCTAAGCATAAGTTTTCAATTCAAAGTGGCTAAACACATAAAAAATTCCCTCAAGTACAATTTTCATTTTGGTTTAGAGGAACTGTCAAGTTTTGCGCCCTTAGTGGAATAATAAATAAAGCTTAGCCTCTTTTATCTCGTTGCCTTATGGGGTTAAGCGTCCTACTAAGGCCAATGAGCAGCCGCAGCCTGCCTGAGTTCGAGTCCGTGTCCGTGTCTGAGTCTGAGTCGGCCTCAGCCGCGTTTCAATGTGTCCCATCCCCAATTCGGGATATTTAAACCGCTTTGTCTCTGGCCCCATTTAAGAACTCGTGTTTCATTGAGGGCTGCTCGCGCTGTTGACAGCGAGTATCTTCGCCCGTTTTAAGGCTACATTCGGTTTTAGCCGCTTAAGCTTTCAATTTTGCTGCTGCTGTTGCCGCTGAGGGAAGTGTTAAATTATTAAAAGCCCAGCGTATTGTCGGAGTAAGCGAGAAAGCAACGCTGGCCGAGGCAACAAAGAGAGAGATGGAGCTTTCAAGAATTTCCTTCGTTGTTGTTGTTGATTTTTTTAAGTATGTATTTATTTTGCGTCTGCCTCTTGTCTGAGCTCTTGGCGTGCTTTCATGAATAAACATGCAAACAAATTACTCTACTTGACAAACAAAAGCTCTGGCGCACACCTGTGAATGCTGCTTACACCGGTGAATGGTGTTTTTGTTACATTTCGGCTGCTCAGACAATGAGAACTGGGCTAAGATTTTAATGGCAAAGCTGCAGCCGAGTCGAATTTTACTGCAATTTCATAGAGCTTGACGGTCCTACAAACATCTGAGGGTGCGAGGAGCTGAGCTGACTGCTTTACATATGTGAGATGAGAAAGCTCCTATTTTACCATTTAATAGTAGAAAATGAAATATACTTTTTTTTTTTGCCTCTGAATACGACATTTTATTCAAAGTATTTTATGATGTTTAAAAATTAAATTTGTATTTTTGCAATTAAAATCTGTCAAACTTTATATTCAAAGAATTTATAAGAAATAGTCTATCACTGTATGAAAAATAACTTAAATTGAATTTAAAATTTTTCATTGCATATCTTATTCTAGAGCACGACTGCAGAAGACATTTGGCTTGGCCTGCAATCATTTCAGCTTCACATTTCTTCTGCCGTTGGCTAGACAAGTCAAAATGATTTCAAACACGCATATATGCATACACACATACATTCCTATATATGTACTTGAATATTGTAATATAATCCCATTGAACATGGAATGCTACATGCGTCATTGCATTTCTAAGCATTGCTAATGCCCAGCTTAGTAGTCCCACTCATTTCTCTCCCCTCCCCCCTTACCGAATTCAATCAAGTGTGCCCAGGCGTACAGAAGGCGCTCTATTTGGCGTGCGTTGCACCCACATCGAAACAAATCCGAATATGGAAACAGAATCGAAAAAAAAGAAAACTCACTGAATGCGTAGCTGTCAAAAAAAGAGAAACGTACATAAGTATGTATATGAAATGTTTTTGCTGCTCAGCGCTAGAGCTGGGGAATATCGCCTGGCTATGGGGCATACGAGCCCAACCAGCTGGCTCTAGGAGTCTAGACATCAATCAACACCTTGGCCATGTTGATTGACAGGCGAAACGACAGCATTGAAAAATAAATCTGTCATTTGCATTTTGAGTTTCGTTTGAAATCAATATGAATGTGGTACTTGAGAGCCATTTGCTGTTTTTTTGTTGTTGTGGTTTTGGTTGTTGTTGTTGTTGCTTCCAAAGTCAATTTGTCAAAAACATGCCGAGCACCAAAAAAAAAAAAAAACTTAGAATCAAAGGCTTTTCATAAAATTTCAGTGTCAGGCGCATTTGCATCTTCGAAATGGAAAATCCGTTGGTTTTGTCGGGTTTGTATTACAGATTAAAAAAGTGATTTTTCTCATACCACTGAACAGCACATATGAAAGTAAAAATCACAAATATTTATGTGGTTTTGCATAAAACAAACCACATATTTAATTAATACAAAGTAAATGATTGGCAAATAAAATAAATTCGGCTTGCGAGCGCAGCAGACGTGAAATTGTTATTTGAGCATAATAAAAATATTTGTTCATGGCGCGGATTTCCCAGCCCAGAGCCAAATACAGACCAGCACAGGCCTTCAGTAGTGATCCATTTGTCATACCAATCTGCTGCAGGCAGGCAGTTTATTTAAATGATTCAATCATATTTGCATACATCTGTAAGACATACAAATTTACGCAGTGAACGCTGGCAATCCGTTCATGCTGATTCTTGAAAGCTCTGTTTCAATGCACGCTCGCCAGGGACAAAGAGGGTATCTTGGTTTGCTAGGAAGTTGAAACTGTGAGTAAGTTTGTAACAGTTATAGAAGAAGAACTGGGTCTTTGCAAATCTCTTAGTAGACTGGGCGGAATATTGCTTAATAGACCCTTGTCGCTGCTGTTTACTGGGAACGGGTATTACGCAGTCAGTTGCACTCTCTCATAATTTTGCAATGTTCATTATGTAGTTAAGCTCTTTATAATCTTAACAACTGTGGCTTATAGACAATCTCATTTCATATGCGAGGGCTTAATGGCCGTTGACAGTCCTCTGAATGCCCTGCATTACATAAATGGTTTTTAAATTATTTTCAACTGAATGGAAGGCTCTTCACTCGCTTAATATATAATACTGATGATTCGCTAATTTTCCATTAATTTTGGCTTTCTCATCAGCTCCTAAATTACAATTGATTTAAAACTCTTCTTTAACAAATATTTTACTGGCTCATTTGAGATCAAAGGCATTTCAATAAAAAACATTTCAACCCAAATTGTAATTGTGAAATTCAATTGAAATACGCAGATCTTAATAACCATTAACTTCTCATTGAATTCCACTCAGTGGGGAGTCTCGGCAAGGAGGCCGGTATCGTTCTCTGCCGCTGAAGTCCTTGGTGAAAATTGCTGTTTATGTTTTACATGCTGCCTGTAATTTCGCTGGGAAAATGGCGAAAATATCCTGCAGCTGATTTTTAATTACGAAAACACAAAAACAAGAGAGAAGAAAGGAAGTTGTTGCGACTTCGTGTATGTAAACACAAATACAAATACAATCACGTAGTAGCGTGTACACACACACACGCACACATACACACTCTCTCTGTCCCTGTCTGTCTACGACTCACTTGCGAGACCTCAATGAAGCCGTCTAGGTTGCTCGTGTGTACTTAAGTGCATGTCTGTGCCTGTGTGCGTGTGTCTGTGTGTGTGTGTGTGTGTGTGTGTGTGTGGGTATGTGGCTGTATGTGTTCGGTAGCAGATTTCAATTTTTGTGTGTTAATTACATTGCCGGCATAAGTTCAGGACCTCTCCCCACAACAGCCGCTACAGCACTGTTAGCATTGCATGGGCGTGGCAATGCCATGGAGCAACGCCCACTTTTTTGGCAGCCGTTGTGCTTGTGTTAAGCATTTTGGCGCTTGTGAATGTTTAATTATCAAAAATTTGCACTAGATCCTTGTTTGTTTATTCTTTTTGGGCACATTTCGTTTAATGGTCATGTGTGTGTTTGTGCGTGTTTCTATGTCTGTGTGTGTGGGGCTTATGGTAATTGCTAGCTCTATAACTGTGCAGCAGTGTGTGATACTAATGTTTTACAAGGACTAGTTATTTACTTTCCGCTTATCCGACCGAGGTGCATGTGCCTGGCCAGAAGCTACGGCTGTGGCTCGGGCTGTGGGCCGAGGGCTGAGGACTGGGCGGAAGAGCCGCAGCTGCTTTGCGTGGCCGAAAATTTGATTTGCTTGTCCTGGATTTTTGAATCATTGAAGCGAGTTCCGCAGCGCTAAGCTCGTTGGCCTCTTGTCTATTTACTTATTAATGCTTAACAATGTACTAACAACAACAAGCAAATTATTTATAATTACAGCAGCGGCAGCAGTAGGAGCAGTAGATGAAAGATGTAGAAGAGGAGCATTACAAAGTCACGACGCACATTTTTCATTTTTATGGTTTTTGTATGTGGGCGCAGCAGCAGCAGCAGCAGCAAAAACAACAGCAACAACAACAGCAACAGCAATGACAATTTAATGCCTTTAAAACAGCAAAATGCCGTTAAACCGGCAAAAGGAAATAATGTACAACAAGGAGCATCCCGGACTGTCTACCGGATTCGTGTTTCTGGTTTCTCTTATTATCCCGTTGCCGCCTGACAAATAAACACTATGTGCGTGTATGTGTGTGTGTGTTTGTGTGTGTATATGTCCTCTATAAAACCAACAGCAACAACAAGAACAGCATTAAATTAAATACATAAATCATCTTTTTGTATGTGCCGACAAGGGCGTTCACATCCAGCATAAGAGGCGGACCAAGTCTGGCATTGCAAAAAAAAAAAAAAAAAAAATCAACGCTGAAAACAGCAAAAGCGAAAAAACAACACACAACACAAGGAACACTTTTTTGTTGTAATTATAAATGTCTAACAGGCAGCGTCGGCGACACAGTCCCAGACATTGTTTATCATTTTCCTGGGCAAATGCTCTATGGCTGCTGTAAACACAAAGTTCCAAACTCGCCTTAAACTTGACCCTTAGCTGGTGTTAAAAATAAAAAATAATACACTTCTGCAAGCTTGTTGATTAAAAAAAGCCTCTATTTTTGAAATTAAAAAAAAACACCCAAGCTGCTTGGGCAGGCATTGCTTCGAGGATTAAATCTATTTTTGCTTTCTCTTTGATTGATTGCTATGAAAGGGAGTGGGACGGAGAGAGAGGATGGAGGTCTGTGAAGTTGTTGCTTATTGAAATGAAATGCGTAAATAAATATGCACAAATAAACTTACACAAATATATAGCTTAAATATAGATCAAAATAACTCATGTCAAATTAATTAAATTAGAATTTTGCTCAACTTAAGACTTGTTGAGAATCATCAATGCAAGTTGAGTCTATATCAATGAATCCAGCCAGAGACGTGCATATTTTATATACATAGTATGTACATATACACATATGTATGTATGTATGTAGTACGTATTACATTTGGCGTGTCAAATGGGATTTAGAGTATTCTTTATACTTATAAGCAAAGATCTGTTATAAATAATATACAAGAAAGTTGATGAATTATGTTTTGAGGATAGTGTATATGTATGTATTACACACTAAATATAATACATATGCAATTGTCTGATATGTTTCTAATTACAGCTAATATGAAGCATTCCATACTTTAGAACCAGATATCTATCTATAAGCAAAGATTGTTCACAAATACTCTCCCATAGTGTGTACTTCTATATTCTTCATATAATATATGATACACCGGTTACTCTCGTCAGCATTTACTCCTATATATAATGCAGCGCAGAAGTGTTGCGTATAAATTAAGTGGCAGCGATAAATTTGTATTTTAGACAGCTAATTGCTGTTTAGCATAGTCTATATCTTGTATACGACTGAAATGCCATGTCAAGTGCTATCGACTTGTTGTAGCTGAATAAATAAGCTAGCGCACTATAATTAATTCGTTTTCTATATCTGATTTGAGGGCATATTAACCAAAGAAGGGCACTCATTAAAATGCACCAAAAGTCACCCAGTGCTGCACAGACTCATTTAGCCCTTATCATTATAATTAATTAATGACGATTACGTGTAAATAACATGTTCCACTTCGGTTTTTTTTTGTTTTTCATGTGCTGTTTGTCATTTTAATTTATGCGTCAGATTTTAAATTAATTTCACATTATTTGGTAAATCAAGCATAAATGCGATAAATTAATAGTTAAAAGTAAATGAACCGGATTTTTATCAATTGTACGCACAATTGAAACATGTTTAAAGCAAAAAAAACGATTCGGCTCCAACAGTTTTTTGTGTTCGGTATTAAATATTTAAAATCCGATATGCTGTTGTCCTTTGAAAGGATTTTCTATTAGCCATGGGAGGGAAATCAAAGTTTGTATTAAAGGCGTACATAAATAAATTTACAAATCGGTTTAGCCCAGAGCTCTGGGTGTTTGGACTTTGCTTCACTTTTGATGGGTTGTTTGTCTTTTACGAGCTCAGCCATGTTGATGCTCAGCAAAAGTTACTCAGAGCCAACGAAAAACAAAGTAAAATAAAAGGGTGTCGAAAGTAATTCCTCACGTAAGCCACTCGACACCTTTTTAAATATTTGCCATGCATTTTCATTTTGTTGAACAAATTTTTGATGATTCGCCGCTGAGTTTTAGGACGCAGTTGTCACTTTTAATTGGTGCATATTTAATATGCTCAGGCTTTGCACTCTTCGCTCATTACTCGTCTGACTTTTATGCCCTTTTCATGACGTGATTGTGGCCCCTTTCTCGTCCGCTCCACCCAAACTTTCCTGCCGCGTTGCATATTTTAGTTGAATGTTTGCCCTGACTTCGCCTAATGCCCGTAATACATTTTTCACAATGCCCATTACACAGGGTAGCAGCACATCATTTCTATGCGAGTTGTCGTAAAAACTGCATAAAATTAATGTGCACCAAAAATATACAGTCGAAATGAGCCGAGCGCGTCCCACGCTCAAGAGCGCTTGAAAGCATTGATACCCTGTAGAAAAAGATTAACTATACATCAGGCAATATGAAGTATATCAAATTTAAATGCAGATGGGAATAAAACCAATTATAATTAATATATCAGTGTATTAAATATGCACGTATATATTTTGATTTAATATACTCACTCTTACAAAACCTTTTTGCTATAAATAACCAGTTGCAAAAAGTGCATACTTTTAATGCCAGTTGACTCGCTGATTACAGGGTATAGAAACAATAATTGGCATTGGCAACGCAATGGCCGACGTTGAAGGGTCACCAGCATTCGCTGGGTTCATTCGCTTGTTCGCTGGCTGCGCTTTTCTGCGTCATTTTAAACGATGATACTTAAGTTTCCATTAAAGCACTTGCTGGGACCATCAATTCAATAACTGTGCAGCTACATCGAGTCGTACTGTGAAGCCGCCAGACCCTTGGACGCTCGAAATGCGTACTGCTCTGCCGGCAGAGCTACTGAGAGTCAAGCATGCGCTGCGGTTTCTGCTCCACCAAGTTGATTTTGTTGTTGGGGTGGGCAAGTGGGCAACTGGGCAAGTGGGCTTGTGGGCATTTGTGGGCGGCCAGGCCAAATATTTACAACGAACAACTTTTGCAGCAACAAATTGTATTTTTTTTTTTTTTTTTTTGTATGGTACTCGTGCTGCGTATATGTAAAATGGACATGACAACTATGCATAACAAAATAAAAAAATGTTTCGCTCTTTGAGCAACACATAAAACATATTGAAAGGGAGCTCTCGTGTCATAATTTATCAATAGAAAATGTTTTGAAAACTCATTAATGATTATTTATTTATATTTTTAGCCGCATTCCAGCCCTGGGGGCCAGATATACGCAATATATTGCGGCAGCTGCTTTGCAGACACGTAAGTCGAGTGGTGCGGCGAACACTTTGTGCGCCACACAATTTCATTAATGGGAGTTTTCTTTTTTTTTTTTTTTTTTTGCAGTTAAGCATCGTTGCAGGGCGCAAATATTTGCACTTTAAACTGAAATCAGTTCGGCAAAGGACAGGGCTTAATGTATTTGGCTTGCGGCGCTGGCCTAAAAAGCAATGCATGACGCATTGCAGCTAAAATTGATGAAAATAAATGAAACTACCTGAGTCGAGTATGAGCTATTGAATACCCTATGGATTAATATGACTTTATGCATTGTTATTCGTGCTGTGTGAGTCGAAATACTTGTTTGGTTTTTCCAAAAAACTTCATCATGGTATTAAATTCTCTTTATCTGAGCTTGGTATACCCCTCTGAGCGCATTCAAATAAAAGCGAAAGCAAAAAAAAAAACAAAACAAAAAACTAAATGCGAAACAGGTTTACGGCTGCGATAACGCACTCAGCACTCACTCGTCCCTGAGTCCGATTGAGAATACTTGAAATAATTATATAATTTTGCTGGCCGCACATATTTATGAGGCCTAGGGGCTAGGCGAGTGGCCACTTGGCGTTTCGTGGTAGACTGTAATTCCAGGACCTATATGGCCCGAAGCTGATGTGAAAATGATAAGTTGTGGCCGGGGCAGGCTTAATAATAATGATAATGTGTCATAAGGTAATTATTCAGTTGCAAAAGGCTCGGCGGCTGAGCGAGCAGCAGGGGCGGGGTATGGCTCGCATAAATAAATATCCTGCAGTTATTTGGAGTGTGTGTTGACAGCGAAATTGATTGCAATTAATGGCCACTCAAAGGAGGAGCAGACGAGCAGGGGACAGGAGGCGCAGCGACTGGTAGCTGGCAGGAACTGAGCTAGACTCCAATGAAGTTGCCGTCCGGAATATGGCAGCTGCTGCATAATATTGCTTTGAGAGATTTGTATGGATGTTAATATGCATCCGCTTTCTATGGTGCAGCTGCGTTTGCAACTGCAACTGCAACTGCAACTGAAGTGCGTCTACTTGCGCCTGAGTGCACCGGCTCAAAAGATGTTGACGTGCCGAGCAAACAAAGGCCGAAGCTGTAGCTGAGCTCGGCTGAGGCTTAAGATGTTCCAGCTGTGACTGGCATGGCTTATCAATTAGGCAAATTAGTTGGCTGTCAAGGTTTAACCACTCCAAGTAGCATTAGCTTACTTTTCGAGTAGTTAAAAGCACCCAACGAGAGACTCAACTTTAAGTTAAAGGCAAGTGAAATCAATTAGCTCTCGTGTGGAGCCAACTAACCCAGGAGCCAAAGACCCAATGGCAGCCCACTGTAAGCCAATTTGGCTATGTCAATACACTTTACTATATACAGCACTTGGCACACACACACACAGATATACACACACAGGCACACGGAGGATAAAAAGACACGAGCATATGCTAGGCGAGAGAGCATTCGAGGCATGTAAATATTCAAATCAAAAGCGCAATTGAATGTGCGAGTAAATGTCATCGTATCTCGCATTCAGATCTTTGATTGCCAGCTATTCAAAAAAGTGAGTTTATTGCACTACACTTGGCACTCAGCCAGAAGGCAGCGGAGCTGGAGTACAGAAATCTGAACTCAATTCAACCATTCCATTCCATTCCTTTCGCGCCGGCTTTACCTGGTTCTGGTGACACTCAGACACAGTGCTGGGAATTGACACAGAATAGTCGCCAAATGCCAAGGCACAAAGCGAAATGAGGAAGTGTTTAAAAAAATAAAG